GGAACATACATGCATCCATTGGAACCTTTGGAAACGGTCTACCCCTTTGGGTAACCGTCGAGGCCACTCTCCCTGTCCATCATATATATTTGCTTAAACTATCCTCGCATGTTTTCCCTTCGTGGTTTGCATTTAATTTCTTGGTTTCTTTATCTCTACTCTTTTGACTTCAAAGAATTTTTACTCTTTCTGATTCAAATATAAGGTAATTAATTCATATGTGCATAAATGCTTTTGTATATTTTGATTTGATTGCTTCTTATATAGTTATATTTTGAATTTAGGGTTTGATTTATGCTTTTTTATATTTTCAATTTTCTCTTTATGAATATATTGTTCTGTTAGTTTCCTAGCTCTGCTCTAATCAGTTCAACGTTCAGCCTGTCCTATAGTTCATCTGCCTGACTCGTGAATTTCTTCTTTCTTGCTTGGCAATTTTATCCTCTTATATTTTGTGCAAAGTCAAGCAAGAAGGGGTGTTTTCTTGGATAATTTCAATTTCAAATTTCTTCTTCATATTATTTTTTTCCTTTCATGTTCACCCATGCTCATGAAATATCAAGCAATACTGAATCTTTTATATTGGATAATACATTTTAAACAAATTCAGTGGAAAAAGCATTTCATCTAAATAGAAACAAAGGCAAAAACGCTAAATCCCACAAACATTTACAGAGAAAAAAAACAATAAATGTTATATTACCATGCTCTGGGAACACCCTAAGCTATGGGATTTAGTTTGATAGTTTTTTTTACCTTCTTTTGTATAACAACGCTTGGCTTGTGTTAGGTGACACTTTATAATGTTATATTACCATGCTCTGCGAACACCCTAAGCTATGGGATGATGTATTGCTCATCTTGGATTGGGAGCTCTCTGTTCTTCTTTGTGAAGAAGAGTTTACTAAAAGAACTTACCTTTCTTCCACAATGTGGTTCTTGTTGGATTGGGAGTTATGATGAAAACTTGTCAGTCACCTTCTTCTACAACTTTAGCCATTCGATTTCACATGCTACGAAGAAGTATTTTGAAAGACTCACTAAAGTATTTTATTTGCCTTCTTTCGACATCACATGCTTGTAGTGAAGAGGAGTTTTAGTGAATTATGTATGGTCTAATCATCCAACAATTTCTCTTCTACTTGCAATTATACATGAATTTGCATTAATTATTATTAGTAAAAAATTTTTGCAGGTATTAGGACAAACAATCTATTTCTCATCATCAATAAATACAAGCTAGTTGTTGATATTTCATTCCAAGAGAACACAGGTATCTCGCAGCTCCAAACTCTCATTCTTAAGCAAATAACTGTGTTTTTATTTGAGTCATTCAGTGTTTCTTCGACTTATGAGTTTAGGATTGAAAAGATTGTTTTATCTTTTATATTTCATTCAATTTTTTTTATTATTATTTTTTGTATAGTATTTTTTATTATTTTATTATTTTTCATGCAATAATTGTTATATTCTCAAAAGTTCAGGTTTTTTAAGAAGAATTTTCTCGAGTTGTTGTGGTGCTTAATTTTTTTTTTTTTCTTGATTTGCAAGGATTGTGAAATCTCTATGCTTTTCGTTTGTGAGGTACAAGTATGCAATGAGGGACAGAAAGCTCATGACAACTTTGCTTCTCAGTATGTGTATATTAATGCATGCTGAGGTATTTTTATTTTAATTAATGTTGAGTTGCTCCATTCAGTTCTATTTTGTTGTGTGTGTTATTATCTATGTTCTTTCGTTTATCATATTTTATTGTTCCATCACAAACTGTCTCCCGCCTTTATCTTTCTGTCCTTTATGATGGAGGTCATCATGATGGCTTAGTTTCTTCTTCCACTTATCTGAACAAATTGATTTGAAATTATGTGAGTAATTGTTTTTAGATGAATATATTCTTTTGTATTATATAGGACCTTATGAAAAAACTTAGGCTTCGTTTGGGACGGCTTTTTTATTGCTTTCTACAACGGAGTTTTAGTAAAAAATAAAAAAAATTGTACTAAAACGGACCAAACGAAGCCTTAGTTTCTTACCAAATCTTATTTGTTTCATTATGCTAACTACTGCTTCAACAAAATTTATTGGCAATTTTATCTCATCATTATCTTTATGCCATAATAATATAATATGTAGTTACTATGTTACTAATTTACTCTTATAAAGATCCATATTATTTTGCCCTCTATCATATTAGAAGCATCAAATTACAGTAAAGTTACTCATATGAAGATCCATCTTATTTTTATTTAAACTATTTTTGTGGTTGTATTGAGGGGAAGTTTAATTCTATTTCCCATTATTGAACTTGTGTGCAATTATGCATGATTTGTATCTCATTCATGCTAATTTGAAGTCAGAGAACATTCTTCTTATTTCTTAATAACATGTAAGCTTGTCCAATTGTAATGTATTTTGGTTATATTTTCCTTTCTCATACCTAAATTAAAAAAAAATTATTTATTGCTTTTTAACTGTTAAATTCTATACTAAATAAATCATGGTTTGTTCATTTCTTTGCATAAATTGTTGAAATTTTCATTTCCTTTTATTAGCTCAATTTCTCAATCACAACATGAGGTCCCAAGTGAAGTGTTGTAAAGGAAATTGATTTTGGAAGCATAACTTATGATAGCCAACATCACACTTATATTGTATCAGCACGACACTACAGGGCTCTTGAAGTTATATTAGATTTGTTCAAAACTATTATGGTTATATTCATCCTCTTGTTTTATTGCTTGTGTGATTTGGTTATAAGTTATAACTCTTCTCCTATGAAATAGAGCTTGGATGGAGTGATATAACTCTTCTCGTGCAAACATCAAGGAAATATTTTTTTAGGAAGTTACAAAATTCATTTATGCATTATAGTTTGTCTTATATTTTATTATTATATTACTCATGACTTGTAGGTAATCAACATCTAACTTCAATCCTTCTGATTGATTTATGTTAACTAAACTTGCGACTCTTATAGATTAAGGATGATACGAAGTATAACAATTCAATGCATTTGGTGGGAATCCTTTGGGTTATGCAAGCGGACATGCAGTACTTAAGGTTCTTCACAAGGAGAATCATCATGCACATTGTGCAGATGTCGGGTCTCACTTAATTGGATGATTGAAAGGGTTCTAACATAAGCATGAAAGTGAGGTTTTTTGCCTTAGGTTTTGCTTATTGTACATTACGGAACACATTTACTTAACCTATATGATGTGTATATAGCCTTGCAAATTCTTTCACCTTTATGTGGATAAAATATTCTTCTATTCATTTCATGTTAGATTTTGATTCCTAAATATAGTGATGGGTTACATGAAGCATTATCGTACATTTTTTTGAATTTAGTTGTGTATGGTTATATGATTTTTAGTCGAAAAATATTTAGGAGATTCTGGGTTCTTACTTTTAAATTTCATAATGTACAGTAATAAAGTTAGATATGTTTCTTTTATCATACTTCAATTATTTTCATGATATTTGCTTTTATTAAATTCAAATGCTCTTTTGTTGGTTGTCTATCATATTGATTTTATGATGTATGAATAATGAATAACAATTTATCTAGAGATTCACTAATATTAAACTGTACTTTGTTCATCAGCTATTTGGATTTCTAAAAATTTATCAATCATACTCCATATTTCCAATTCATAAAGTTGACTTATTGAGCTATGTTCACTTTGCAGTCATTGGAGATGTCAAAGTCATCGTTCTAATGCTTGTTGTGGAACTTGTCATTGATAGAAAAGTTAACTTTGGCAAATAGATGCAAGTTTTTATTATTTTTCTCACTCAAAACAAGATTATTATTAGTGCATTATTCCATGTTCCTATTTCATTAAATTGATAACTTGCTTCCTGATTGCAAATTTCCTGGTGGATGTATTGGACTATGCCATCTCCATTATTTGAGATGTTACTTGAATTGGAAATAATAGAGCTTTGATAATGGCTATGGAGTTCTATCATCTAGCATATTGTAATATCTTTTTTTCTTCCTTTATGATGTTTATGTGTTTATCTAAAAATGTTAAAAATTTGAGCAGGGTCAAATTAAAAGTCTATGAATCAAATTAAAATTTAAGGAATTTAATTCAGCTCTTATTTGTTTGAGTTGTTTATTGCTATATTAATAAAGTTTTGATTGTGTTGATATATTTCGAGCTCATCCTCTTATCAACTTATGGCTCCTATTGAAATAAAAAATAAAAAATAAAAACTTATGGCTCCTATTGATTTCATATTAATATATTTTTTCTACTAAAATTTTAACAAAAATATCTACTTCTAGATTAAAATAAGTAGTTATTATAATTACTTATGAAAATAAATTTAATTTATTTTACAAAAATGATAATGTTATTAAAATTTAATAATATGAATTTTTATTTTTAAATTTTGTCACGTGCATTTAATGCACGTGCAATAAAACTAGTATTTATAAACATGTGAATCTCCAATCTAAACTTTGTTATGTTAGTCTCATTTCATAAAGGAACATGTTTATACATTTGAACTTGATGCGTGTAACTCAAAGAAAGCGTGTAACCTAATCCAACCCACACCTTATCCAATCTATGCTTAATTATTAAATCTTCGGCCCTCTTAAATGGATTATAAGTCTCTCCTCATCCCTTTCAATGGTTGAATAATTACTTGGTAATAACTAACCAATATGATGAAGGCTTTTTAATCGATAACTGGCTAGTTTAAGATCTTTATCCATGGTGGCTTGGATTGATGGCCAAAGGAGTATTTTTAGGACTTTCTTTTATTTGATTTGGGCTAAATAAATACTCCTAATTAATACCAACATATGTGTGGAAGTAGCACTCACATTTTTTTTTATGATAGATCCCAAAACCCCTCGCACTAAATTGATTGAAGATAATGGGAAGACACAAAAGATACATAGAAGAGGTAGATTAGAACAAAAACTAATATATTTTCACTTATCTACGCTTATAAACACTAGTATCAACAATGTAACTTGCCTATCATTTATTTTGCTTCTGCGCCTTTGCTCTGTGGCAGAATGCTTTGAACGTGGTGCGCTAGCCGTTTGATCAATACTCCTCCCATCAATCGTTAAAGTCAACTCTACAACAAAAAGTTTCCTCATTAAGCACACCAATCATAATTATATAGAATAATAACAAACATGAAGGCAATGACTAAGAAGGTGGTGTTTTAGATAGCAATAGTATAGGACGTGAACACCATGGACTGAGAACTATCGAGAAAGTTAACATTAAAAATTTGGAGTTTAAAATGAGAAAAATAAAAAATAAAAAAAGATAGCCTAAAAAGGCTTGGTTAGAAAATATTAGGAATGACCTTTCTTTATTAGATTTAAACGAGAATTTGACCTTTAATAGGACACAATGGAGAAAAAGGATTCATGTAGCCTACCCCACGTAGTGGGATAAAGGCTTGTTGTTGTTGTTGTTGTTGTTTGTTGTTTATAGAAAAAGTATCAACTTTTTCCTCTCCTAAATCCACATAAATCACTTGTAAAAGTAATTTGTAAAAGTAAAATATTAATTTATATTCCCCCTTATTTTGATCCTCTATTGGATGAAAATGACACAATACTAAGAATCTTTTTTTATAAATATTTATATATTTATATGTTCTTTATTTATTTATTTTAAAAAAATGCCATGTTACTTATAATAAACTTTAAAATAAAATATAAAAATTAGGAAATATCACATTGACCTAATGTCTTAATAAACTAATTAACAACAAATAATTAGTAATTAATAGGTCATCACATCAAATATTTAGTATACATTAGGGGGATTTACATACATGTCATTGAATTTTTATGTATTTACATATCTAACATTGAAATCTTCATATTTACTTATATAACAACCTAGTGCCTAAATGACATCAAAACATAGGCATGAAAAAGTGTATTTTACAATAGATAAGTTCATGTTAATGTTATTTTTTGTCATTTAGAGATTGTTCTATAAATAAATTTAAATATTTAGATGATATATATAGAAATGCATAAGAATTCAATGGCATGAATATATATCCCCCTATGTATTAATCATCCATGGTAGAAAGTAACTAATTGATGATGAAGATGTTACTTTAAATTAATTATATATTACATGGATTGAACAAAATAACAAATTGCTGGTTAAGATTTTAACTTGAACTAATCATAGATTACTTAAATTTAGTTAGGTAAAATATGGATTAAAAACACTTGATTTAGAAAATGCAATTGTAATAAGAAACAATTTGGATGTTATTTTAGAGTAATTAGGAACTAATTATTTTAAATATAATTCAATAACGATTTTAGACAATTAATTAGTATAGATCGTTAGCATTGCCATAATTAAAGATAAAAAAAATGAATTAGTGAATACAAAGGATTTATTCAGCTAGTGGAGATTAATAAATGTTTAGTTAGGCTAGCTAAGCATAAGCTAACTGATTAACATATTCATTTTCAAAATAAATCAGAAATTAATTCTTAATTAAATTGATACTTAAGCTAATCCTATACTAATTAGTTTTAATTTAAAAATGAATTTGTTAGGATAATTAGGTTAGAGAACTTCAAATGCGTAATCTCTCCAAACAAACTTCTCATTTGGCTACTTGTAAATAAAAAACATGTTTTGGAAAATATGATATTGGTTTCACTTGTTTAGAGTGTGAAAATAAAATCATCATTTTTGAAAGAATTTTGAGAAGGTTTGTGGTGTTAAAAAATAATGTTGAGATCTAACAAAATCCACCCAAGTGATCTAGTTAGCAAACTTCATGATTTTTTAAATTCTAACTTCAAGCAACCAATTGAGCCCTAAGTTGGATTATTTTTCCTTAACTTCAACAGATTAAATATTTAATTAGTTAAATAGAGTAATTAAACCTTTTGATAAACAATTAACTATTGTTTGGGATTGATAATTATGAATGATTAGGTTTATTATTTTAAGCACTTGATCTAAAAGGGATGCATACATTCATTATGCATGTAACACAACATTATCAGATTTATTTCATTTTTCTCGAATGAAACATCGTTTTCATTCTCCAAACTACCAATCTAGAATAATGAATCCAGACTACTTAGTTCAATGCACTTGCTATGGTCGTCGTTTTATTAGAAAATGTAAGTTATTGAGTTTGATGACATCTTTAAATAATAATTTCACACATCATAACCTTTACTTTGCTCGCATGTGGTGCAAGTCAATCCAGGTGACATCCAGATGTCAGGCTATATGGTCAAAATAAATGACAAAAGAAAGAACGTTATCTAAATATTATTATATTCTTCAAACGACACAGTGCTGAACGCAGACATATCTCATTTGATTAATATAATCACAATATCTATTATTGTTATCATTATTATAAAGCAATTTAATACTTCTATCCAGATATCATAGAATCAAGAAACATATCCGTTTTTTTTTTCCATTTCGCTCGGCCCAAATCCGTTCTTTTGTTTCGTCAACTCTCAGCCACTGTAAAAATGCTACACAGAGAGAATCTAAAAAAATACATTAAAAAAAGTTCTAGAAAAGAAAATGGAGCAACCTTTGTGAAAAGACCCTTCTCTCTTGCCGAACTCCTCGTCATCGTCATCGTCTTCAAAAACCTTACTGGACCTAGAAACGGACTCCATCAGTTGTTATATTCCCTGCAAATGGTTTTCCAGTCCGAAATTTATAATGAAACTCAGAACCATTTGAAAGGGCTCGAAAAGGAGAACGAGCGGCGGAAAACCTAGACCTGGCCTCGGTAGGAGTGACGAGGAGAAAACAGAAAGAAGGGGAAGGAATGAATACCTGGAAGAAGAGGATGCTCGGAATGAAGCGGAACTCAGAGGAGCAAATGGTGAGAGGCCGCGACCAGTATCTTGCCCTGAAAGAGAACGGAGAGAGAGAGAGATTGAAGAGAGCGCAAAGAGAGTCAGGGATGGCCCTAATGCCTTCATTTTTCCCATAATAATATTCGAATATTTGTTTACAATTTCCGTAACTTGCAACCGCTACCACGCGCCAAAATGGTTTCGTCCGAAGAGAAATTATTTTGCAGACAGAATATCGTCCGAGAATGTGCCACTGAAAAATTATTATATCCGGTGAAAATATCCAGCATACCGAGTGTATCGAGCGCGTTGTATTGAGCACGGTATCGAATACTTAGTGACGTGGCATTTTTTTATTGGTTTCCGAATACATTCGGTAACCTAACGGAATAATTACTCCAATGGTCTGGAGCAGTAGGGATTATTAAGTCCGGTCACTGGATCTAGAAAATAGGTCCGAACATCCACTAAAAATTTGTCATATATATTGCTTTTTGACTGTGTGCTTTGACTGTGCTTTGGGTGCGCTTTGACTGCGCTTTTGAATGCGCTTTCACTGCGCTTTACATGCGTTTCACTTGCGCTTTTGACGCGCTTGACTTAAAATTTCGCATACACATGTACATTCCCCGCGTCAAAATTTTAGTAGATATCTGGACCTTTTTCTAGGTCCGATGACCGGACCTAATAATTTTTTCTCGAGCAGCAAAGGGTTGAGATAATACATTGATGTTAGCATAGAATAATTATTATGTGCGGATGCCGAATATCATTCGAAGATCAATCAAAATGAGCCATCTCGGTACTGCGGCTGGGTAATGCTTGATACCGCTCAGTATCTCTCAGTACCACACTTGATATTACTGATTTGGCTCGTTTTAATTAGTCTCCGAATATAGAGCTGCGTTCGACGTACACACCTAATAATTTCTCCTGCACAAATGAGGCTCAACTTCCATCTAAAAGAAATTTTCAGGTATATTAAAAAAATAAAAATTAAAGATATTTAGCTAATTAATGCTTAATGCCGTATATTAGGTCAATATTCCTTATATGTAGTCCAAATCCAAAAAAAATAAAAAAATGCGGTCGTCGCCGGCAGCATACTATAAAATATTCCGCGTTGCCTTCGCAGTCCAATCACCATTTCACGCAAAAAATTTTTATTTTATTTTTTCGGTTTGAGAGATTTAACGCAAAGGCGGGCCTCTCTCGGTTAACCCATTTCTTCCTGCTCTCTATTGTCTGGTTTCCATTGCCACAGGCAAGTGGCGAGTCCTTAAATTCTGTTTATCTCACTCGCAGATGTTGAGAAGAAGGAAATCCATCAAGGGAACGGTGACTTAGTCACAGGGGAGGTATCAGGTATTCGTTTTGGTCTTCTTTATAACATCTTTCGTTTTGTTTTCTTCCGAAGACTTCTTTTTTCAGCGGTTCTGGTGGTCTTTGCAAAGTGGTTTCTTTTTAGATGATCAATTTGCCTTCCGTTGGATTTGGTAGCTTTCCCATTTTCTTTTTGGATTTGCCTGTGGCTACGAGTTTGCCGCTTTAGTTAGGTTTTTGTTGTAAGGAGAGAAAGAGGAGTGAGAGCCATAGAGCTATTTCATTATCTATTGTCTTGAAGATCTAGGGTGCCCTCTACTGTTCTCGGGTTTATGATCGATATCTGGGATGGAGGCGAGTAAATTGGTGACCGCAGGTGATTGTTTTATATATATTTGGAATATATGGCAGGCTTTAATTCGGTAGTCATTTACATGTGAAAATATACCACATAGAGCTCTAAACCCCGCTACTCTCTACCCCCTCTCTATTGGCCTCTTTTTAGATTTATTCTTTTTGTGCTACTGAGATTTTATACATGTTCGCTCCTATGGATTTATTCCTTTACACATGCATAAACCTTTTCACGAGAAGATCGAGATGAAATTTTTCATCCTGGAGGAGATTTTGAAGAAGTTGCTCGAGGGCTAAACCAAAACGATGACGTCAGAGGCGAGGGAAGTTGTTGATTGCTAAGGAAGTGAGGAAAACCCTAATCCGATAAGGCGAAGGGAATATTAGGAGGCAGAGATTGTGGAGGGAGAAAAGAGAATGCTTTCCCTAGAATATATTCCTATGGAGGAGTCGGGTAGAGGGTATGGAGAGAGTCATGAATGGTTGGGACGTGAGCAGAGGGGTGTTGAATTTGAAAGATAGAGGCTGAATTTGAAAGGCGATGGCTTGATTATGATCAGAGGGGTGGCGAATTTGGAAGGAAGGGGGCTGAATTTGATGGGAGAAGGTGAGCTTGTGGTGAAAGGTCTGGGTACGAGCGGAGGAGGGATGATGATTGGCACAATTGGGGGGAACCACCCCCTTGGAGAATGAGACATTTTGGAGTAAATAGGGGTGACGGAGGAGATCTGAGGGCGTGGAAGTTGGAGATGCCTATTTTTGGATGCACATGGGTGGACCTACATGGTGGAAAGATATTTTACCATTAATAAGTTTGACGAAGGAGGAGAGACTGACGATAGTCGGGATGTGATTGGAGGGGAAAGCTTTAGGATGGTATCGAAGCAACCCATACACACCTGGAGGGAGTTAAAAGATGGCTTGTTGGGACATTTTCGAAGCAGCAGGGGATGGAACTTCTATGAGCAATTTTTTGCTCTGATGCTAGGGGGAACATTGGTGGAATATCATGAGCAGTTTGTGCATCTGGCTAGCTGACTAAATCGGCTTCCGGAGATTGTACTGGAGGGGAACTTTATGAAAGGGCTCAAACTAGAGACTCGAGCTGCAATTAGAGAGATGAGGCCTTGTGATTTGGGAAGGATCAGAGGCACCTGGAGAGAGGAATGGGAGGCAGCAGCTCAGGAGTTTCGTATAGGATGACCACCAACTTATGGCACCCAAGGAGCTGGCACTGGGTACTCTATGGAAAACCCCAAAGGAGAAGATTGTAGGTGAAAGACCCGGGGACAACTTCAAGAAGCTCACAAAAATGAAGTTACAGGAGAAGTGGGCGAAGGGGCTCTATTTTAAATGTGAGGAGAGGTATACCTTGGAGCACAAATGTAAGGAATGAACTCTTTAGGGTTCTCATCATTTGTGATGACGAGGAAATTGAGGATAGCGTCATCTTTCCACCTTGCAGACAATGTGGGTCTTTGGGAGTGAAGTATTGTTAGACCGGTCACTTGAGGCCGATCTAGCCAATCACTTTGGACAGGCTCTAGTGAGGCGGAACAATTCTGCGTAAGTTGGGTGGAACTTCTGCTTGTTTTAGGTGGAACAGGAGCTTGCCTCTTTTCTGCTGTGGGGCCTAAGAGTCAATTTCAAAAAAAAAAAGGGGGATGGGGGGAAAATTGGGAGGAAAAATTAATATGAAGAAGATTGTTTGGGAATTGTATTATTTTGGGTATGCTCTAAGTAATTTTTACGTAGGGTTTGATTTTTATGTCTTGTTTGTTGGGTTCAGAGTAGTCTTAGGTTATTTGGGCTATAGCCGGTGGCTAGGGATTTGGGAGAGCCGGATCTTCCTTACCAATTCTTGTATCTTGCAATAAAAATAGTAGTGGTGTGTTCTTCTTCCTAATTTGTTATTGCCATCCACTGATTTTTAGGAAATTGTATCCGCTTCCTATCAGGAGGTAGGTAGGCATAGAGGGAATAGCTCATTAATTTTCCTTAATTAATAATTTTTACTTTCTAATTCAACAGAAAAGGGCATACTAATTGCATTGAGCTCCAGTTAATACAAGGACTTGGGAGAGATTGATGTACGTAGCTTTATCCCTGAATTTGCAAAGACTCAATTTCCATTACTCGAACTACAGATGGATGAATGGATGGAGGTCACTTAAATTAAATATTCCATGCATAATAATTTGACTTTCTGATTTCAATAATTACATAAATTTCATATTCACCTTTAACAACAACAATCATGTGGTAACTATCTATTGTGAATATTTGGTGCAGGATGCGCCCTTTTTAGAAAACCTTGCCATTTTGGCATGCCCTCACTGCTTTTTGATTCATTAAGTTTTCAAATTTTTTGTTAGTTTGTAGAAAAATCTACATTTATATAAAAGAAGTCTTACCTTTGTTCTGCCGCTGAAAAGTATACTTCAATCTGGTAAACAATTAATTTTTGTTTCTGATGTTTATGCATTACATTTTACGTTGAATTCATGACCTCTTAGTTTAGTAATCATGACAGCATGAAGCTGCTACTTGTTACATAAAAATGAATTCACCAATATAGGACTAACTAGTTTCATTATCAAATTGGTTGCAGAAAATTTGACCTTTTTCTAAGCCTTCAAGATGCAATCTCAATCTGAAAATCAAAATATTCGAAGGGATGGGGCAAACTGATAAGATTATTATTGGAGTCACTGTTGGTGTGGCTGTTGGGATCGTCTTATCATGTTGTGCATTCTTTGCCGTTAGGTTGTGTAGAAAGCGAGTTCCACGAAGTCTGAGTTCAAGAGATCTTAGCAATGCATCTCTACCCATACGTGCAAATGGCATTGATAGCAGCATGGATTCCAGTGTATCTCTCTCAATTAGTCATGACCAGGAAGATTTGCCGAACAGAAGCAATTATTGGGGCCAACGAAAGCACCAGGAAAGGGATTTATTAAGTTCGTTCTCTGGCATTCCACGATACTTGTACAAGTATGTCTTAGAACTTGGTGATTTTCTCTATGTTAAGTCTATAAATTTTCTTTTTGATTTTCTACATCTAGCGTTAATGGTACCATCTTTTTCTCTTTTCATATTCTCCATCTTCTATGTAATATTCTTATAATTGTTTTTATCAGTATTTCCTAGTCAATTGTCCTGTAAAAATAAAAAAAGAAAAACTCAGTTTGCTAATCATTGTATGAGAGATTTGCTTATAGAGTTTAAGTTGTGCTGCAGAAACTGTGCATTAAAACAGGAAAATGTTTTCTCAAATGGACGTTATTCCATGAAAGGAAACAATATAATTGATAAAATGGAATCAGCTCTAAGAAAGTTATATTAAGATTGTTATCAACTGGTCATTAGCTGCTGGTTGATCTGAATGGAACTTTTTTCAGTTTACACAAGTGTTGAACCACAAAACGAGGAAAAAGACTGGTTTCTCAGCTGAATGATTAGCAGAACTTTCGTGAAGAAAACGTTAAAATACATAAAAATGAATCCATTGATTATGTTTACAAAAGAACTTTGTGGTTGTAATTAAGTGACCATTGAGCTGTTCTCCCAGAGATAAATATATCCATGTCATATGTGTTTTGAACCTCTGTAAGGAAAAAATCTTTCCTCATCTTGATGGCATTACCTCATCCTTTTGATTTAAAAAAACAAAAATTCTTTATACTTTATATTTTTTTATCTGGAATTTCATTTTTTTTCTGCTACTTGTACTCACACAAAATATTAGAAATGATCTTTCTCTATTAGATTTAAACGAGAATTTAACTTTTAATATGACACAATGGAGAAAAAGGATTCATGTAGCCGACCCCACATAGTGGGATAAAAGCTTGTAGTTGTTGTTGTACTTGTACTCACATAATGGAGCTTTCCCTTTGCTGTGCTCCTAATCAGTCCTCTTTCTGTTCATCTGCTTCCTCTTCTTCAGCGATGCTTTCTCTCTTGAAATTACTGGGCCTTCCTTCCATTACTCGAGTATTATTTTCATCCTCACTACCTGCTTCATATCGATTCTTTAACTAAGCATCCAGTGATTCATTTTATAAATAGTAAAACCCTTATATTTTTCAACTTACACTATTATATATGAATGAACTAGAACTTATTGTTTTACAAGTTACAGAATGCCAGAGCTAGCAAAGATTTTTGTCTCATAAAACTTATTTTTGCTCGAGTTGTGTGGGCGTGGTATGCAAATTTATTCATCAATCTAAGAATTGCTGTTTTATCACATTAGTGTTTGATAAGTATCAGATAGATCATGAATATGCAATTACCTTACTATCTGTTTCTCGGTTCACTACCGTGCACTCTTATCATTTATGGTGAACACATACACTCTAAAATTAGTTAGGAAAGAATTTGTACCTAATCATTTAGACTAACTAGTTTAATTGGTAAGGGCCTGGATCCTATGGGCCATAATAACTGCCGCTTTACGGACTGTGTGTTGAAAAAAGAAGTATTTTATCCTGACATTCTACTTAGTTGAATGAATCCAGAAACCAGGACTATTCTAGTTTTTAAAGAAAACTCTGATTGAAAACTCTGATGCAAGATTATGATCACCATAACTCCTGGACAATGTGGAAGTATTTACTTTATTTTAATAATACTTTTTATCGAACTACTTGACACTATTCCTAGTGCTTCACAAATTGCAAGCACAAATTGCAAATCTTGGTTATGTGATCTGTTTGCTGCTCTTATGTCCATATGGCTTGAAAATATATGAAGAGAGTGTTAAAATCTCAGTCGTCCCTCGACACTTAATCCCACAACTAGGATGGGAATCCATGAGAGGCCCACCTGGATGACGCCGATTTTTGTTAAATCCCAGCCGTCCCTTAAAACTTGATCCCATGGTCAAGATGGGAATTCATGGGAGGCTTACCTAGATCACGCCGATCTCCTACCATATTTTGGTGGCTGATTTAGGAAGAATTATATTGGGGAAATTATGCATGATTTTGTAATTATTTGTTTCTTTATTAAGATATCATATATAGATCTATAAATAGGGATACTTTTTTAAAATAAAATTAATCTTTTCCCTCACCAATTTTATGAATTTACCATGGTATCAGAGCCTTCATTTCATTGGCCAAAATTCAGAGTTTTTTTACTGTTGGACTTTCTGAAGGGAAGGCCCGGCCTTTCCTTCAGAAACGAAAGGGATCGTATTCCGGCTTGTTTGTTCATTCGTACGCCCAACCGAGGGTGGAGATTGCTTCATCTCGTTATCTCTTCGTTTGATCAAGAGATGCAAACATCTAGTGCGTCTCATATGGAGGATTCGAGCGAGAACCCCGTAGTTTCTGCGTTCGATCAAGAGAGACGAATGTCTCGTAATCCCCTCTTGCATGCGTGCGACCAAACGGGATGAGAGAGGCGTGTAGCCAAAAGATTCTGTGCGTGTGCCTGGGAGCTGATTGAGCGGGATTGCGCTCATCGCTGCGTGTGATCAAGGACCAGTCAATTCTTGCGTATGTCTAGAGCAACTGAGCAAGTGAGGGTATGTCCCCTTTCGGTCTTCTGCATGCGGCTAGAAAAGGCACATGAGACTCCTCTTGTGTGTGCCTACCTAATGGTCGAACTGAGTGAAGAAGATGATCAAGAGAGGGAGCAAGCAGGAATTGCGTGCATGTGCAGTGTGTGTGCCTGAGCCGGGATGACCGACCCTCATGCTTGTCTTGCAAGGAAACTATGGCTAAACCTAAGATAAAGGAAAAATCAAAGGTATCAGGAATGAGGGGCTTAAGGACTAACAAGTGTTGTGGCAGACTTATTGGTTCTCCAAGTTCCCACCATCATCCTTCATTGTCAGAATTCTGAGTAATGCAGGTTCCCACCACTATTTTTCATTGTCGGAATTCTAAAGAATATTGGTTCCCACTACCGACCTTCATTGTTAAAATTCTAAGGAAAACTAGTACTTCTATCGACTTTCATTATTGGAATTTTAAGGAATACAAGTTCCCACTACCGGTCTTCATTGTGGGAATTATAAGTAATAATAGTCCTTCTACCAACCTTCATTGCTGGAATTTGGAGGAATACATGCTCCCACCACCGACCTCGATTGTCAGAATTCTGAGGACCTTCGTGCATCCAAGATCGAGAGAAATTGACTAGGAGGGCTTCTCTTGCGTGAGATGTCCAGAGTTGACCAAGACCTCCTCCTATGTGTGTTTGAAAAGAGCCGAGAGCTTCCTCTCATGCGAGGGCAGGAACAAGTAAGAGTGCAAGACCTGCACTTCCTTCTACAATCAGACCATGGATCAGAGGCCTTGTGTGCACCTGTACTGGCCGATCGAACAAGAGTCTATTTAGGTGGAGTCGAACAACATGGGAAGGAAGAGATCTGAATGTTGAGTGCTGAGTCACTTGAGATGTGTGTTTCTGCTCTTGTCCTTGAAGCTTGACGCAGCCCTAAAATTTTTCTTTTCTTTTTTACTGTCGTCTTCATTGTCAGCCTTCCCTTGAGAATCGAGAGGGAGACAGATCAGAATGATTATTAATCCACTTCCCTGTTGTCCCACCACCAACCTTTATTGTCGTTTCTAGTATATTGAGGGCTACTGTTCAATGCAGCCTTCATTGTTGCCTTGCACCTTGCAGTCTATTGAGATAGCCTTCATCGCTATCCTTTACCGCAACAATGTTTGAAGCTAATTCCTCTCAAAGTTTTTACCAAATGAAGGACTTTATGGTGCACAAAGGGACTTGATAACTCTATTTTTTTAGAACTAGTTACCAAGCTGGGAATGACATATATGTATTCCCCAGCTTGAGGGGAAGTGTTAAAATCTCAGTCGTCCCTTGACATTTGATCCCACAGTAAAGATGGGAATCCGTGGGAGGCTCACCTAGATCACGCCAATCTCTATTAAATTCCAGCAGTCCCTTAACACTTGATCCCACTAACAGGATGGGAATCCATGGAAGGCTTACCTAGATCACGACGATCTCCTTTCATATTTAGGTGGCTTATTTATGAAGGATTATATTAGGGAAATTATGCATGATTCTGTAATTATTTATTTCTTTATTAAGATATCATATATATAGATCTATAAATAGGGATGATTTTGTATAATAAAAATAAGTTTTTCCCTCTCCAATTTTCTAAATTTAACAGAAAGTAATGAAGAGCTTCGCAAGAACTCTGACCGTCTACAATAGCTGCTATTTATTCTTCTTATCTAGAGGCTAGAATGACTGCATTGGTTACAAGATAACATGAACTCCATGCTTCTCTATCATCTCAAATCTCTCCATAATGTTGTGCACCATGAATGTGGAAACACATAATTTCTTAAATTATTCTTAAAGTTCTGATTTACAAATCGTTTTAGTCACTGTTTGCTACATCATTTTTTTGATAATACTCTTGCTTCCTCTTTGCTGATGACCAAATAAGGAGAAGGGTTATATTAGTGAGCCATGTGTTGGATCCTGAGTATTTGCTTGCTATTGGATGCTTATTGTTTGATTTTAGATATTTTTTATGTATTTTATGCTGCTTGTTTTAAAATGCTATGTTTTGGATGATTTATGGTAAGGGTTGTCTCAATACGGTCATCTTACATGACATCTAATGATTTTGATTTATTTTATATGCTAAATTGAATTAAGGAATGATAATATGTATCTTAAAATATTAATGATGATCCCATCTTGGAATATCTTTCTTAATCATTGCATGTATATATTAGAAATCCTGCAACGTATGAAAAAATTATAAAATTAAGTTTCTCAGGGGTAACAATATTAAACCAGCATACTTTTTTTTTTTTAAATTTTATTAAACCAGCATACTAGAGTGTTTTCTATCTTTGAAATAGGGTGGGATTGTTGAATGTCATGGTGTTCTAATGATCACTACTCTACCAATCATGTATTTAATATTTGCTCTTAAGTGTGTAAGTTAGGTCTCCTTGTTTAAATTCAAAGCACTTCTAATCACGTCATATTATGGAGAGCTTAATCAAGCAATCACGAAGTTATAAATAAGATTCACACAGTTGCAGTTTGTTTTAAGCTATTAAGTTTCATGTTTTTTATGCGAGCCTACTAAGTCATGCAAAATCAAACTCCTTTTCTTACTCTTTGTGCCTTTTGGTCTTACTTTAAAAATTCTTAAAATGTTCCTTTACTAATGGTTAAATTCAAAGCATCCAAGTTCATCTAGTTAAATGAATCAAATTGTCAAAATAGCCATTATGAATCAAAATTTGACCAAGTTCAATCAACTTAATCAGACTGCTATTGACCATCTTTGAATTGAACCAAGTCATTTTGACAAGTTCATTAAATTTGTCCGATACAACATAACAGATTGTTCCTTCAGTGAACTTTAAAGGAACAGCTTGTGAAGTGACTGTACACTTGATTGAAAAGCAAAACTACCATAAATTGGAATTTTTGTGATTGCATGATCTTTACTTTTATGCTATATGTTGTTTGGCTTTAATTTCATCATCCTTGTTCTTTTGGGGTAATTTTAGTAGTAATAGACCTAGTGAGGGGATTGTGACTTTGGGCGATCAAGTCATTAATAAGAGTACACGTTTTAGATATCTTGGATCTATTATTCAGAGTGATGGTGAAATAGATGAGGATATTATCAGTAGAATTCAAGTTGGATGGTTGAAGTGGAGGAATGCATCGGGCTTGTTATGTGATAGAAATGTACCCCTCAAACTTAAGAGAAAATTCTATAAGATGGTAGTAAGACCTGCAATGCTTTATGGTGCCGAATGTTGGCCTTTAAAAGAGAAGCATAATACTAAGTTAAGTGTGGCAGAGATGAGGATGCTCAGGTGGATGAGTGGCTTTACCCTTAGAGATAGAATACGAAATGAGCATATACGTGAAAAGGTTGGAGTAGTTCCAGTAGAAGATAAGATTAGAGAAAGTCGCCTTAGATGGTTTGGTCACATAAAACGGCGGCCTTGTGATGACCCGGTTAGGAGAGTAGAGGTATTAGATTTGACTTATGTTAAGAAAGGTATGGGTAGACCTAAAAAAACTTGGTTAGAAAATATTAGGAATGACCTTTCTTTATTAGATTTAAACGAGAATTTGACTTTTAATAGGACACAATGGAGAAAAAGGATTCATGTAGCCGACCCCACGTAGTGGGATAAAGGCTTGATGTTGTTGTTTGTTGTTCTTTTGGGGTAAATATTATTAAGCAATATGTTTTTTATTTTGATTTTATTTGATTTTATCACTCAATTTACTCCCCTCTTTGATGTGCAGAAGGGGCAATTACAATATCTGTTCAAAATATTTAGCCATTTCAAATCTCCCACTCACTTTGTATTGCAAATGTTAATCAATGACGTTATTGTGCGTTTCTTATACTAATTTTTGGTGCTAAAGCCGTGAGTTGGCTATGATCTTCGTACAACTTGTTTTCTGTGTGAATCAGTTCCTTTTTTCAATATTATTTTTGCATGCTTGTCCTACTTTTTTTATAATAATTCGGTTATGTTGGACTTTTCATACGTTAAGCATAAATTCATTGAAGTTTATTCACTGATCTTCTAAACTTGTGTAATTTGATGGTGTGTTTTGTTTATGGTTTTGCTCTTCAATTTATAATTTTTCTTGGAAAATAAACTTTGTGCTCTTTTATTCCTTTTCTTAGAAGAATATTACTCTAGTTATGGTAGATTTTTGCAAATGTTTAAATTTGACCCTGCAAATCTGTATTTATTTTCTCATTTGATAACCTCTTTATTTTGTCTATGGCATCACAATCTGACTATGCCATGTAGGGACATTCAGAAAGCCACACAAAATTTCACAACCATTCTAGGGCAGGGATCTTTTGGTCCTGTTTATAAGGCTATAATGCCTACAGGTGCGGTGGTAGCTGTAAAGGTGCTTGCAAATAAATCAAAACAAGGAGAAAAAGAGTTCCAAACTGAGGTGTGCCTGTCAGCTTATATATTTATTTCGACAAGGAGAGATCTATTTTTTCATCTGAAATGCTTATAAGGACATCCTTCTTAGTTATTTTTTGAAGTCGATTAAACTCGTAATGTACTAAATAAGTTTTCTGGCTTTTTATTATGTCTTCATACAGTCTTATTTAACATCTTAGTGCTTGGTGATTTAAAAACACACCAAATTAGTAAGCAGCTTGGATTTTCTAAACCATATGACTATGGTAAATCTTTTTGGAATCTTCAACAATTTTCAATGAACTTTTGGTATTGAAACACGTCTTTTATGTAGTAAGAGGCACTTTAGAGCAAATAGTTTATCTTGTTTGAAATATAGCATTCCAAAAAGCATGTGTATCACATCAAGGGAATGCTGTAGTAGTTCTTTCGAAAGCAATAAAGCTGTTTTATTTGTTTTTTAAGGAAATAGAATCTGCATTCAATATGAATTGTTTCAACCAACCATTATGAATTAGGGTTCTTTAATCTCTTTAGCGTTCCTCCAAGGGTGTAAATGAGATAAACATGAACAAAATGTGGTTTTGATTGACCCGGTTCATTGACTATTTGAGTAAAACACAAAAATTACAAGTTCTAAATGTTTTTTTCGTGATCGGATTATTTATTGGTAAGCTGAAAATAAGTCAAATATGAACAATCTATATTGGTAACGATAAAATCCATCTACAATTTTTTTTAATTTATGAGCTAAATTGTTGAAAATAGTTATCTTGTAACAATATTTAATATTATGCCTTTGAAGCATAAAACAGTATAAATTATACACTACGAATTTATTCATGATTGTTTTTAATGGTAAAATAAGTAGAACTTTATATATATATATATATATATATATATATATAGAGAGAGAGAGAGAGAGAGAGATGTATATGTACATAGCCTACATGCATACATGCTAAAAGATCTTGTTCAAACTTAGCTCACTCATTGAATAACCAGGCAAAATAGTTATTGAGCCAAACACGAGCTTCACACGAATATTAAACTTTTTTTAACATATGTAGCCTTTTTATGCAAAATGATTGCAAACTATGGATCCTATTAATCATGACCAAGCAACTGAAGCCTTTAATTTATTATAAATCTTATTTTTCTTGGATATTCACAATTTGTTTTGTACAGGTAGTTTTACTTAGTCGATTACACCACAGGAATCTGGTGAATTTACTTGGATATTGTGTAGACAAAGGCCAGCTTATACTTGTCTATGAATTTATGAGTAATGGGAGTTTGGCTAGCCTTTTGTATGGTATGGCCATTTCTTTTAAATCATTGTGGCTAACTTACATTTTCTTGGCTTTTGTGTGTATATATATCTATATATATGTATGTATGTATATCCGCTTTTTCTTTATAGAAAGCAAATATCATCTTCTTCTTATTTAGATTTCAGTATTGGCCTTTAAATGCAAATAAAAAGTATCGATATCTATTCGCATGCATGATTTCAGAAGGCTTTTAGATCATTTGATCATTACATAGATACATCAAAATTTTCTTAATTTAGGGCTTAGCTAGCATGAGAAGATAATTGCAATTTCAACGTGTAAAAATTTTGAAATGATTTGGGATTAAATACCCAATTAAGATGATATTTATGATCCATTTAATGGAATGTAAGTACCCCTCTATTCTAAACAGGTGCAGAACTAAGACATCCTTCTTCATAGTGGCACACATGCTCAAGAAGGGGAACATCTTCTGTGATTATGCTTGAGGTCATAGAACAAGTTATCATCTAAGTTCAAGTAGTTTTATGGGAATGCTTTAGGCTACTATTGATGCACCACCTTGTTTTTAGATTTGAGGACACTACCAACCTCAAAATCATTTGCCATGCCATTCTTTATAGGTTCCTATTGACTAACTTGAAGGGCCTCCCTTCATGATACTAAGATATGCGACCCACAAAAACATTGCTATTGTTAAGAAGTTTGTCACAAACTTACCACCGAGTTTGTGAACTTCCAACACCCTAGGAAGAGCTCACTGAAATTGCTCCACCTTAGGCACGGTGAGAATGAATATCTTTTCCGCTTTATCTCCATTTTTAATAAGGGGATCCTCAAGATCTTGTTGGATTTTAGGAGGACGTTTAAGAAATTAACTCCAATAAAGATGGGGTCATGTAAAATTATACAAAAAGTTGATCTAAATAATTCAACAACAACAACAACATCAAGCCTTTGTCCCACTACCTGAGGTCGGCTACATGAATCCTTTTTCGCCATTGTGTCCGGTTAAAAGTCAAGTTCTCATTTAAATTTAATAATGAAAGATCATTTCTAATATTTTCTAACCAAGTCTTTTTAGGTCTACCTCTATCTTTCTTAACATAAGTCAAATCTAATACCTCAACTTTCCTAACCGGATCATTGGCAGGCCTCCGTTTAGTGTGACCAAACCATCTAAGGCAACTCTCTCTAATCTTATCTTCCACTGGAGCTACTCCAACCTTTTCACGTCTAAATAATTATAAAATAAAAATTTTGAAAAGCCCTTGTATTATCATAATCCTAGTCTTCAATATTTTTTGTTTGACTTTACTTTATGAATTGTTACCAATACCATAGATTTGTCTCTTTCCATCGGCTCTTTGAGAATCAATTCCCTGTACCTCATGTTGTTTTTGTAACTATCTTATATGCAGGGATAGCGTCCACTATTGATGGTGGATATTATGAGTGTTTTGTGCTTGAGATGATGAACTGCTTCTAATGATTCATTGATTACTTTGTAAAAAATGTCTGTTAAGCCCAATTTTGCATGAAAAATTATTCTCAATTTGTCGAAGTCAAAATTCTTAGTTGCGTGGATTCATCTAGAAGAATTTTAATCGGATTATGCACTATAGCTGGACTTCAGTTGCCTACTTCCTTTTATTCATAGTATTACACTATAGCTACTTTCCATCTGCGAGATTTCTATATGTGACGCTATAGCTTTAGTTGGCTTCCTTTCTACATGAGTCTAGAAATCTTTTCCTCTTTCCTTTCGTGGCTTTTGATTTCCGGGGCTTGTTGCATGTTTTTTGGTGGGTTTTTATTCGTATTTTTATGATTTTGTAGAAGATTTTAACTATTGATTTTTTCCCTTTTTCCTATAATCTATTTTAGCTAGCACTTCAGGATTCATTGGAATTGTTGTGGTCAGGACTTAAGTTGAAAATATGTTATTTTGCTAAAACTAAGATTGAAAATTTGTTGTTCTTTCTTGAATTTAAGTTTATTGAGTTGAAATTTGCATTATTAGGCAAGACCTTGGAGGATTTCGAGGCATTACTTATTTTGGGACTTTCTTGAATTATAAATATGGCTCGTTAAGCGTGCCAAACATAATTTATGATGTAATAAAATTTGATTTCTCTCAAATCTTATTTGTGTTGTTGGATGTAGATTCTTTTAATGCTTTGATAGTTTTAATTACTACTTCCAAGGGATGAGTGTCTTTGTATTGATGCGAGGCATAAATCTCCCAGTTGGTGATTTGTATCCTTGTTCTCTCTATTAAATTGTTTTAATGATTGTCATGTATACATGATTGAGATTTTTTCAAGTTTGATATGCCTATAGTTGTCAAGTTTTTCATAATTTTTCATGTAAACATGAAAAACAACTGACAATATCAAAACATCCAAATATGTCCCCTATACTAAGAAAAATGTCACTTCCAAAAGCTTGCCTTGTATTACCAACTTCAATGTTGTCGCTTGACATCCTCAAGTTTATAAGAATCGACTCAACAATCTATGTCCAATTATGTCGACCTACTCGGCCTCTCACATGGACCTCTCTAAGTTAACCTTCTTAACTATCCGACCTCTTGGCATTGATAAGAAATACTTGTAGATCTCAAGTATTTCTATCAATATAGACAAAATCAGTGAACAAACTCACAAAATTTGAGGAAAAATCACACCAAATAGTGGTTTTATTGCAAGAATCAAACTAATGGAAAGAATAATCAAAGTAAGATACAATTGATCCTCAATTGGAGATGATGATCGATCTCTCCCAATCTCTAGACGATAAATCTATAGCCCAAGACACCAAGAAGAAAAATCCAAGAGAAGTCAATAAAAAAATAACCCTAACCCTAATCTCTCCCTCATACTTAAGGCATACAATTACAACAAAAAGCAAAAAGACCTAATAACCCTTGCCGTACCCTCCTTTGGCTCTCAAATTTGAATCTGAACTCTAGTGGACCACCCGACCCACTCCCTCTCCTCCTTGCCGCCGCCCATTCTCCTGTAAATGTGAACATGTCCCTTCTAAGGGACCGGTTGGACCGGTCCACTAAGTACCGGTCTAACAATACCTGCGTCCCAAAGAATCACCTTGTCCTGAAGGTGAAAACAAGAAAATTGATGTTTAACCCTCTCATATAGCTCCAACGTGGTATCGTAGGTCGGGAGATTCTTACACTTGATCAGCACTTCTTTAGTTTGTCTTCTCTATGGTGAACCCACATCAACTCCAAGGATTATAAAATCTTCTGGCCGTTATGTTAGTCGAATTCCAATGGTCTAATGTAGTCCTTTCACCTTATCTTATAAATAACAACGTTTGATTAGTTTCTTAAGAGCTAAAATAGGTCCACTAGGTCACAATTTTGCCCTTCAAGATTTGCTATATGGGACATAATATTGTGGGGACAAATTTATGGTATGGGAGGATTTCTTGTCATTCACATGCATGTAGTTAATTTTATTCATTTCATGATCGTGCCATAGGAGATAAATGAGAGAGTGAAAATGAGCCGTTACAAGAACTTTGTCCAAGCTAGTAGGGCTATGGCAACTTGATTTCTAGTGGCATCAATGGCTACATCATAGCTTGTAGGGTAGTGACAATGTGAATCCAATTATTTTAAATGAGGAGAGAGGATTTATTTGCTAAGAAACGGTACCTCTAGGATCCTATAACTAGATACCCCTTGCCTGGGGCACGATATGAGGAAAATCAGTTCCAAGAATCCTTTTTTCATCTGAAGAACAAAAGGGTCATCTGAGTAGATTTGATCAGCCATGATTCTCGGCTTAAGTCATTTTTTTAGTAAAAAATTTTTCATTCTTTTTGCCCTCGTGTTGATCATGATCTCAGGAGTAATCACATGATTATGATCTCACGATCTCGAAAGATAACATTCGTTTGGGATGGCTTTCTTACTGCTTCTTAAAGCAACTTTTTAGTATAAATTTTTTAATTTTTCTATTAGAAAAACTACTTTAAGAAGTAATAAGAAAGCCGTCCCAAATGAAACCATAATATCCTTTTGAAACTTAAAATGTGTCGTCACTGGCTTTATGTATTCATTACAAAGCCTATATGGCATCTCTAACTTGAAACTTCATATAAGGATTGTTGTTGTGGTTGAATAACGTTTGCTATTTTTGGTGAAAATTAAAATGTTATTGCCCTTTCCGGCTAGTTTCTTTTCCCAAACAATGTTATTTTTTTATGTAAAGAATATTTCTGCTTCATATGTCCTGCAGATAAAATAAGAAAATTGAAATTATTTATGTATCAGTAAGGTGTTAACTAATTCTGCAGGTGCTGGTCCTCGTGTTCTTAACTGGGATGAAAGGCTACAAATTGCTTTAGATGTGTCACATGGCATTGAGTATCTTCATGATGGGGTTTGTTAATATATGCCTTAACCTTATTTTCTGATACTAAAATGGCTTCTTGGTTATAACCGAATAACCGGTCTCCCATGACAGGCATCGCCTTCAGTTGTTCATAGGGACCTTAAATCTGCTAATATACTCCTTGACAGAATAATGAGAGCTAAGGTGAGGCATGTCCTACTCTTGTACTGTCTTTATGCATGTTCTGTATGTTTATGTGAAGATCCTATGATCATTTATTCCTTACTGTGAGTGCTCATTAGATGATGTAACTATTGATATGCTGGACATTTTCAGTATTATTTTTGATTTCATCGATACAATGGATAAGATAAGATGATGATATTTTTGTTTGGTTCTTATTTTCCTATTGCATGAAAAATAAATCTGTTTTGATTCTTTGCCTAATTGCCTATTTCCAGAAGTGGAGCATTATCTAGTTAAACCCAATTTGAGCCCAACTAATGTAACCTTTAATAACTTTAGATAAATTAATAATTTTAGGAAAATTCTTCAATTCGTTCTTAATAGAATAGAATCACAATGGAGAAAAAAAATTCATGTAGCCGACCCCATATAGTGGGGTAAAGGCTTGATTTTGTTGTTGTTGTTGTAGGAAAACCTTTCAATTTGTAATTAGCCTAAGTTAATAGTTAATTATGAAATAATTTGGCTTAATAATCAACTTATTATTATCTAAATATTAATTATCATAACATTGACAACACCTTAATGATCTTAATAAAACCCAAATCAGCCTTATTTTATAGTTAATTTTAAACTATTGTATGTGATTAATTATAGTATGATTAATTATCATAATTACAATTATTCAATGCTGATATAAATTTGAAGTTCTTAATTTAAAACCTAATTAATCCAAGCAGCCCTTATTCCTGTTAACAAAACTTGTGCAAGCATCCATAAGGGTGATTTCATAATTTCATGAAGCATTCCCCTTTATTTTCTAAAAAAAATATGGATGTCTATATATATAATTTTTTAAAAAAACTTTAATACATGCGCTGTCAAAAAAGATGGAACATAGTCTAATCATGGAGAGATTATTTTGTGTGGATGCCGAACGTAGTTCATCATCCAGAGACCAACCAGAATGCGCCATGTTGGTAGTATCGAGCTCGGTACCGAGCCGCGGTATTGAGCAGTACCGAGTTAGATACCGAGCAGGGGGCGACGTGGCGCATTCTGATTGGTCTCCGGACGGCGTTCGGCATCCGTACAAAACAATTTCACCTAATCATGACCCAAAGTACCGGATTAATGTACAGCATGGCTGTTTGATTTTCAAGTGGATAGGTGGAGGTTCTAGCTGTCTTTAATATCCACTGTTTTTATTTATAGAGCACATACGTGGAATCATGATTTCTACTGAATTAGATGATTTTAGGTCGTAAGACTGAACTTCCATTTATTGATACTAACCCGACCCTTTAAAAATTTCAAGCCACAGCATTAGCTATGTTATATTTTAATGCAAAAAACTGTATGTTTCCCCATCAGTACTGAAACAAACCGTGGAGTTGCAGGCTTGCAACAGAGAAGTTTCAGGTTCCCACAGTCTACATTGTTATTCGATAGTGTTTTGGCATTCATAAATCATAAGTTAAAGGATAGCAATGGGGAGACTGAATTAATATAACAAATACACTTCTTAAACCCTAACTTTGAAATCGAGCTCCAGAGAATGTCCATTTGGGGATTTTTATGACTGCATCTCCCTCCTATCCATTGTTAGTTTCTCGTTTACAATTCTAAAGAACTCTAAGATGCAAACAGGTGGCTGATTTTGGTCTGTCCAAAGAAGAGATGTTTGATGGAAGGAGGTCTGGACTAAAGGGAACATACGGCTACATGGATCCCAGTTACATGTCAACAAGCAAATTCACAAAGCAAAGTGATGTCTATAGTTTTGGTATAATACTATTTGAACTCATCACTGCCATTAATCCGCAGCAGGGCTTGATGGAGTACATAAATCTTGTAAGTCCTCACCATTCAACTATCCTTTATCCATCTTTCACCCTATCTTTTAACATACAATCAACAACAACAACAAGTCTTTATCCCACTATTTGGGATCGGGAAAATGACAAAATATTGATTAAGTAACTTGTGAATCTTTTTGGGGCAGCATTTTGCCTTTTTGTTTTTCAAATTATGTTCATATATATGTTTTATTATAATCTTTTTTTTTATTTTGTTTTTTAAAAAAATGTATGATGAGAAGTAATTTTTTATAATCATCTGTTAGAGTTTATCTGATTTTTTTTTTAAAATCTATAATGATCACAACAGTTTTTACAACAACAACAACATCAAGTCTTTGTCCCACTACGTGGGGTCGGCTAAATGAATCATTTTTCTCCATTGTGTCATGTTGAAAGTCAAATTCTATTTAAATCTAATAAAGAAAGATCATTTCTAATATTTTCTAACCAAGTCTTCTTAGGTCTACCTCTACCTTTCTTAATATAAGTCAAATCTAATACCTCTACTTTCCTAATCGGGTCATCTAAAAGCTGTTGTTTTATGTGACCAAACCATCTAAGGCGACTCTCTCTAATCTTATGTTTCGCTGGAGCTACTTCAACCTTTTCACGTATATGCTCATTTCGTATTCTGTCTCTAAGGGTAAATCCACTCATCCACCTAAGCACCCTCATCTCTGCAACACTTAACTTAGTATTATGATTCTCTTTTAATAGCCAACATTCTACCATAAAACATTACAGGTCTCACCACCATCTTATAGATTTTTCCCTTAAGTTTGAGGGGGATTTTTCTATCACAGCAGTTTTTAGGAAAAAAAATATTTTTTATTATAATGATTTTACAAGTACTTTTATAAATAACCGCATCCACGAACCCAAAAATAGGATTTTTTTTGTTGACATTTTCAGTTGAAGTCTGAAAAATCAACAACTGACATTAATGGATATTTTTTTGATATTCCTACTATTTTTTTTACTAGATAATCATAAATTTGTTCCATCTCCAGCATTGCATGGGGAGACAAAAGTTCGACAAATCATTGACTGATAAGATCTTGATAGGCCAAAACTGAATATACATATGCCCACTTATATTTTGAACCTGTAAACTTTCAGGCGGTGATCGGTGGTGGGGATGGAAGGGCTGAATGGGATGAAATAGTTGATAAGAAGCTTATTGGCAACAGCAACACTGAAGAAATTAGGCTTCTTGCAAACATAGCTCACCGTTGTCTACACAAAAACCCTAGCAGGCGGCCGGCGATCTCCGATATTACTCAGGCCATCTCAAGAATCCGGCAACGACAGAGCACCAGAGAGCATACCATGTCCATCTCTGAAAATGAACCTTCCAGTGTCTTCAGTAGGATAGCACAACAGCAAGTTGAGCTGAGCAGTTTGGCCAATTTAAAAGAATTTTCATTACATAAAGAGTGAGAATTAGTCTAAATCATTTTTCTTTTTCTTCTGCCACAACGGGCAAGAGCCTATCTTGTACTGGCCCTTTCCCTGTAAACAAAGAGATCAGGGCTCTGAATTGCTACATTCAAATAGATGGAAAAAATGATCTCTTTTAATCTTTTTGAGTTTTGTGTCATATTTTTTGTATGTTTGTAAATCATTTACTTGGATTTTTTTTTAAGGATCAGGATTAGGGTTTATTTAAAAATAATAATAATAAAATTTGGTGGTTTAAATTCGAATTACAAATAAAAAATAGGGATGATATTGCTTGATGAAAATGAATTCAATCATGATGATCTTTAAGAACACATGAGAATTTTATTAGCATTTTGCAGTGATATGAATGTTATTACATTCAACTGTATTAAAGTTTTTTTAAGATTGTATTCAACATGTTATTAAAGATCATCCATTTGAATCTTGTCATCTGTCACTGTTAATTGAAGCTGGAACTGAAGTAGCACAACAGAAGAGAAGGCGACGGGTTCTTACTAGAGAAGGCGAATGGAAGACGATCGGGCGAACGGAAGATAGGAAATCAAAGGAGAAGGCATTGGGTTTGGACGAGTAAGAAGATCCTTCGCGCGCGAAGGAACAGGAGACTCATGTGAGGCGCGATTGAATGGGATTTCTATCGAGGGTTTAACAAAGTGTTAAAAAAAGATGAAAAATGAGAGTTTTAGATGGTATATTAGTAAATATAGTAGTTTGAGTATTAAATATGTATTTTGAATTATTTTAAGTGTTATGTATGTAAAAATCCCAATAAAATATTATAATTATTTTAATTTAATATGAGCTTTGTATTAAAATTTTATTGTTTGTTGTGTTGGTTTTCATTTTAATATTAATATTAAGGCTTCCTGGCACCATTTTTTTATTGCTTCTTAAAATAATTTTTTAATATAAAATTTTTTATTTTTATGATTAAAAGCTGCTTTAAGAAGCACTAAAAAAATTATTTAAAACAAAGCCTAAATTTGCAATATGAAATGGTATAAATGTTGTATGTTGCATCCTCAACATGATTTTAAAGAAGCAAAATGTTAGCGAGATGTTGGTGAAATGTTCTCATCTACCTCGAATAATCTTATGTTTTATTTGGGACGGCTTTTTTACTGCTTCTTAAATTAGCTTTTGAGTACAAAAATTTTAACTTTTGTACTATAAAGTTATTTTAAGAAGCAGTAAAAAAGCTGTCCGAAACAAAGCCTTAGCCCTCATCTTTGAAATAATCACCATAAAACAGACTTAATACACCTTAGAAACATAATTAATTATCTATGATGATTGTTTTGTCTATTTTACCCAAATGTGTAATTAAAATAATAAAAATACATTTAATTTTTTTCTTTTTTATAAAGTGAATTATAAATCTAAAAAATATTTTTTCAGAAATTCTAGTCAAATAATTATAGATATTATGTGGGAAAATGACCGAATTGATATCCAAAATTTTTCTTAAGAACAAAAATAGTTTTAGACTATATAAAAATATCAAATGATTTTTAACTCTTTAATAGAGACTAAGGCTTCGTTGAAGACAACTTTCTTACTGCTTTTTTAAATTACTTTCTTGTACAATAATTTTTAATTCAAGAAATTTTTATACTAGAAAATTTTTTTAGAAAACAATAAAAAAGCAGTCACAAACAAGGGGTATCAATATTTGACACAACCTGAAAAACCGACTCGAACTCAACTAAAAAATTTCGGGTTAGCGTCAACCTGTTTGTGAAATGAGTTGGGTTCGGTTTGATCGAAAAATCGGGATTGAGCTGGAATGATCCAAAAACGAATCTGCCAGCATTTGATCGCATGTGCCCACATGTGCTCGTGTCTACCTACCTATCACATCTACCCATGCCAGTCTACTCACCTGTTGATGGCTAGTGACGACACTGTCGCGGTTGCCGTGTTCGCGGTTGTTGACTTGCCGTCGTCGGCACTGCCTCGCCTCGCCTCGTCGTCCTGTGTCCAATGCCTCCTTCACCAATTTGTTGTCGCAGACAATGCCTCGCCTCACCATCTCGGGTTTACAAAACCGTGTCGGTCGGGTCAATCTGGTAACCCGATGGGTCGAATTTAAGTTCGTATTTTCGACCCATTTGCGAAATCGGGTCCTGTTCGAGTCAACCCGTTTGAATCCGAGCCAGTTCCAAGTTAGACCCGAATCCGACCCGAAACCCGAATTTGACACCCCTATCCCAAACAAAGCCTAAATTAATCATTTCACTAGATCATTTAGATCCCCATAAAAAAGATAAAATACAAACATAAAATTTTTAAAATAGACGATATCATTTCTGCTTCGTAAAAAGTCGAGGAATCATTTTGGTCCTTATCAGCATATTATGAAATTGGTTCATCCCCTTTAAATAATGTATTTCTAATATATTAAAAAAAATCTATTAAAAAAAAAAAAAAGATAAAAGGTATTTATTTTTGTATTTTAAAAAAAATCAGAATATATAGCTCAAGGGAGGAATGCTATGATATTGAATCCTACGATCGTGCATCGTTCGTTGGACATTTGAAGGCCTTAATGATGTCGGAATTTAGTGATCTTGGGCTCGTTGGATTCGTCTCGTCGAGCCGTTCGATTCGAGTATAAGCTCGTCAAAATCGGAGACCGTTTGGTAACTCAAATTGCGGTTTGAACCTTCCGACAGCACTTCGGGTCCATGATTCGGACCCATTTGGGCTCGGATTGGGTCGATCTTGGTGTCGTTGGGTTCGTATTTCCGAGACGCTCAGTTTGACTGTAAGCTTGTTGAAATCGGAGTTTGGATGCTCCCGGATTTAATTTTTGAAGTCTCCAACTAGTTTTTTGCCTCGAGATTCGTGCCTGATCAAGCTAATTTTGTGATAACGTATCAGATTAGATAACTTTTATTTATATGAGAAATTTTATATCTAATAATATATGGATTAGTGTAATTGAAACAAATATATAATTAATATATTATTCTAAAATCCATCCATTTTTGTGTCAGCAATTAATTAAGAAACTCTTACAATTGACTTCAGGATTTCTCGTATTTTATTTCCAACAAAGTTATAGTCAAAATGAATGTGTTAATGAAATAAACCCTGAAACATAAAAAAAAAAAATCAATTGATCTGAATATAAATAAACATAAATAAAGCAATTTAGGCATAATTGAAAAAATTTACAACGCTTTTTGAATGATCAAACAATCTTCAAAATTTGTGTTTTTATAGCTAAAATGAGCGTTCTGATGAGAGAAATCCAACGAGTCCAAATAGCACCTAATTTAACGTCATTAAGACATTTAAATGACCAAAAAAATTATATGATATGGGGGATTAACCCAAATCGTCCAATGAAGTATTTGAGATAAGTCCAAAAATCTATAAATAAGCTATTTTTTCATATGAAGGTCGTCCGAAATTGGAGATAGCTTATAGATTTAAAGACTCCTTGAACTTTGCTCGACAATCGACCTTAGTGATTATCATCAATAATTATCATCACCCAATTGTCATCATCGAGCTGTTGTCATCGATTGTATCTCCCAATTTGTCATTTGATATTCTTTGTTGGCCATCCATACATTAGTGCCCATGATCTCTCATTGTTTCTTCAATACTTTCGATTGCACTAAAGAGGTCAAATTAAGAATTTAGATTTTGTAATTCAACTTGCTGTAATTGAAGGATGGACAGACTTCTATAGTCTTCAATTCATAGTGGATTATTTTAGGCGAGTTATGTAAGGTCTCAAAATCAAATGTGGAAGAATTATCTATTTATCATTTTAAAAATATATCGAACCTTCTATAGATCATCAATATAAATCAAGTATACAGTGAAAGCAACTAACACTGTGCAAGGATGACAATTAGCATCTGAGCGGTTGTTGAAAGAATGAAAATGTAACCAAAGCTATAGGAATTGATTTATAAGTAGGGTAGAAGTTGGGTAGTATTATGGTCAATATTTGACACGACCCAAAAACCCGACTCGAATCCGACCCGAAAATTTTGGGTTAGGGTCAATCCGACCCGAAAATTTTGGGTTCGGGTTCAACATTTCAACCCGTTTCAAAAATCGGGTCGGGTTCGGGTTAACCCTTTGACCAGAAATTGGCCCGAAAGTGACCCGATTTTGACCCGAAAACCAGATTTTGACTTGGCAACCCGAGATTGACACGATTTTGACCCGAAAAGAGGAGATTGAGCCATTTTGACCCGAAAATTAGCAAATGTTTTGTTGAAAAAGGGTCATTCGGGTCGGGTCGGGTTGACCCAAACCCGAAGCGGGTCGGGTTTGGGTCCAGGAAACTGACCCGTTTTTAAAAACGGGCCGGGTTCGGGTTGACCCGAATAGTGCCGAGTCAATTTCGGGTTCGACCCGAACCCGACCCGTGACCCGAAATTGACACCCCTAGGTAGTATGGATTTTAAATTCCGCATTGGATTGATTGCTTTGCATATGTATGTATATTGAGTTTGTAATTAATTGATTAGAAAAACTTATCAGTATATAGTTGGACCATACCTATTAGGATACACAGAGTGCAACAACAGCTCGAGTGAGTTCTGATAATTTGATGTAGCAATCTAGCATGCTTGCACAGGCTATGGGTGATGCTCATAGTATATAAGTGGGACATAAGAAGTTAGAAGGGGACACGCATTTACATATGTTCTATAAGTTGAAGCCCTCTTTGTTCAGGGAAGGGGTCATGGCTAGTTGGAGTGAGATTGGTAGAGATCGTCAGGTTTTCTTTTTATTTTGTTTATATTTTTCCTTATTATTTTGTAGTCAGGAGTTTACGATAGATAAATAATTATTTTGATCTCCTAGCTATTGTATATTAATTTTGGGAGAATAAATATAATGCAATATTTTGAGTTAAGCCATTGTTAGTTATTTGCATTTGATATTCATTATATTGATGATTAATAGAAGTTTTGTTATATTATTAAAATGATAAATATATAATTATTTCAAATTTAATTATGGGGCGTTAGAAGCTAAGCCCCATGACTTTTTTTTTAGCGTTCGGTGTTCCATTTAATTACTCTTGCTTAGTTTGTGAGGTTCTATCATTTCTGTGTGTGAATCTTTTTACAAAACTAATGTATGAAATTATCATTCTATCCCCACAAATTTTATAGAAGAAAATAATATTTAAATAAGATATACTGTATCTATAAAACTTTATATGCTAGTCAAAATCTTATATCTTATAATTGTTGATTATATAAGATAGGACTAATAATGGTTCTATCTTCCACGTTGAGCTTTGCTCCACAAGAATTAGACTCCCTCTACATTGTCACTAGTTATGCCCCTGAAAAAACTAAGGAGCAAAAGCTCAACATTTTCTAAAGAATGCCCGCAAATATAAAAAAACTAAAAAATCATTTTGTGCTTAATGCAAACTCCATCTCCGTAATATCCTAAATAAGGACACTAATTTGTAATTTAGTTAAGCTAACAAAGGAGTCAATATCATGTCAACTGTTAAATAAGCTTAGCTCAAATGTTCATTGCTAGCAAAAATATTATGACAAGAGTCTATATATGTGATGCATGCTTTTTTAAATCCCCCCCACACACACACACACACTATCAATAAATGTCCAATTCAGTCCCAAAGTTTGGCATTGTCACATTTTAGTTCCTCTACTATTAAAAATTGAGTCAATTTGATCCCAGAGCCTAAAGGAGGAGTTAAAGTTAAAAATTATATGTAAGGGGCATTTTAGGTATTATAATTGAATGTTGAGATAAAACTTCTTACTTGATCCTATTTTATCATTACGAGAAGAGTGTATTTGATTAATGTGGCTAGTTTCTAAATTACAACATCAAGATTGGATAGCTCTCAATCACAATACCAACTCCACTTAAGAAAAAATGCAACCTCTATTAAGCTTCCCTAATGAGGATCATATTTACATCAAATATCAATTAAAATAGATCTATGATTCCAACCCAACTAATCATTGTGATAGTCATCTTTAGAGTTGCCTAAATGCCAATATTACAAGCCCCTAATGCCTCCAAATCTTTGCTCCACAAGAATTAGACTCCCTCTACATTGTCACTAGTTATGCCCCTGAAAAAACAAAGGAGCAACAGCTCAACATTTTCTAAAGAATGCCCGCAAATATAAAAATACTAAAAAATCATTTTGTGCTTAATGCGAACTCCATCTCCGTAATATCCTAAATAAGGACACTAATTTGTAAAGGAGTCAATATCATGTCAACTGTTAAATAAGCTTAGCTCAAATGTTCAATGCTAGCAAAAATATTATAACAAGAGTCTATATATGTGATGCATGCTTTTTTAAATAGGTGATTAACTTGATCATAATGATGCCATTATATTATGTTTACAATGCATAATGTAGGGTCTATGCCATTATATTATGCATACAGAGCACCAAGAAAGGCTCGTGTTAATTCATGAGAAGTACTTACCAGCTTCTGAACAACAATGGCACTCTAGAGGAACTAGAAGCACAAAATAGACACAAAAAATTGATGCCAAGAGAAACAACAAACTTAGCTTCGTCTGTGGCCTGTCTCGCTCGTGTCAAAGCATATCATAGCACATCTCATCAGGCTTGTCACTCGCGTTGCTTAGCCGGCCTAGCACACATCGGCTTCCTCGGTCACGTCGGCTAGCTCGCTCGCGTTATCCTAGGTTGTTCTCTTCTACAAAGAAAAGTCTCAAAGCATCTAGTAAAATGCGTGCACAACGTATAGTGGGAAGCAGGGCAAATAGTAGGAAGCATGGCGTATGACGGGAAGCATCAAGCATGTATTTTATTTAAATGCCCCCAAGAAAAGAACTTCTCAGGATCTCTCAGATAATTTAAATGGTCAAGAACAAAATTGGCTCAATTTCTAATAGTTGAGGGACTAAAATAGGGCTATGCAAAACTAAATTTAATATTTATTAATAGTCGGGAGACTGTTTTAAGCTTTTCCACTATGAGAAATGTATCCTTGCTCATTACAAAGTTAAAAAGCAATGGTACATATTTCCTAGCTAATTAATATAAGAACCTCATTCAGGGACAATTTATTGATACCATATACTCTAAATCCCATACATTATGGAAGTTAACATTTGTTTCCCTATTTTAAATGAGTTTCATTTATGACTTTTTAGCTTTAATTTTACTTTCAATTGAAATTTTATCATTTATGACTGTTTTAAGGTTTGTAATTATTCCCTTTTGCAGTTATTTCATCAGAATAATGCAAAACAGTTCAAATTTCTCACAACAATTAATTTTGGAACTGTTGGAATTTGGAATTGAATCCATGAAAACAAAGGTTATTTTGAAAAGAAGAATTAGACATCCACTGAATATTTTTTCAGCCAAACTTTCACAGATAAAGCCACAGAAAATTTACAGCAGATAACTAAACCTCTTCTGGAAAATCACTTCCTCTTCTTTTATTCACCAAATGAACAATCCGCACATTAAAAACTAAAAAAGCTAACACAAACATAACATTTGCTCAAATTTATTACTTTCGTTAAAGAAAAAGAACCCTCTCTAACAACAACCATTATTCATCTGTCACTAACACCACCCTTACTCCATTAAAATTTTCAACTTCAAATGATTATGTGGTTATTATACTGTTAATGAGAGGAACATAGAACAAGCTCCCTCTTTATGATTTCAAATGATCAATGAAGGCATTTCCTATAACTGTGCAAGCATGTAGCCACTGATAGGCAGGCAATCAGTAGCTAAAGGACTGTAACAGCGCTCTGCAACTATCTTATTTGCAGCCTGTGTTGGGTGGAAAGAATCCCAAAATATGAATGCATCCCTCTCTGCGCATGGAACCTGAAGTGGCAAGCAACTTAACTGTCCACCATACTTCCCACTCCCACAACAAGCCTGGTTCTTCTCCTTAAATCCTATAGGAAACAATTCAATTTCAATTTCATCATTGAAATATATATTCTTCTACAGTAGCAATAAACCAATTCAGTATCTTATACCATAGCTAGCAGGATTCTGAACCAGATCAACGAATGTGTCATAGATGTTCTCATACACAAAGAACGATCCTTGTAGCGTTGAATTGAGCTTAAGTAGAAGAGGTACGAGCCGTTCGTTGAACAAAGAGACCTGCTTGTTCACAATCTCAATGCAGCTACCGTCGGTGCTGTTGTGCTGATAGAGCTGGCTTGGAATGCACCCAAGCGGTCCAATTCCAACCAGAAGCATCTTCCTGACTCCAAGCATGTATAAGCTCTGCAGTATGGTGGTTCACATTAGTTCGTTCTTAGCATTGTAAAGAATCTTAAATGACTACTTGGTTTTACTGGTTGTCAAGCTGTATATGATGGTGAAAACATTTTACCACAATGGTTAAATATTACTATCTTTTCTGCAAGACATTTAATAGACTTGCTGAAAGGTGGATTTATTGTTAGGTAGAAGGGGGAGCTCAATTAATAATGCAGTTGATGAGTGTTTTGAATTTGAGCTTTCAAAGGACTTGGATCCTTTATTTGTATTTTTGGTTAGGTGTGGTGGCTACTTTCTCGTACCTATTATTCCCTGTTTACAGTGTGAAGCTCTACTAACAGGCCAGTACAAGCAAAAGAAGTTTCTGAAGAACTGAGCGGTTTATAGTTATTAAACTGATGTGTTTAAGATTTTCACTTTCCTGCTCGATTATTTGGTTTAAAGGGGATAAGGATTTTATGAGAAAATATTCAAGTGCCGAAAAAAAACTTGATGAAAAATAATTTAATCTCTGAATCTTAAAAACTTCTAAAATTTTACCTTTTAGACTGCGAAGTTTTTACCAACTAACCTACCCCATATGTATTTGTTTTCTCAATGCTCCTAGATGGATGGATTGGCTGACATTTTTAGCTGGATGCTCAGATGCAATTTAATGAGCTAAAGTTACAGCTCCATGAAATTTGAATTCAAATTGTTTGCCTAGAAATAGTAACGGTAACTTTAAGCTTAGGGTAAAAATACTTGTTTCTAGTCAACGGACACCAATTTAGTTAAAAGCATTATAGTATCATCTATCAACATAAATGAAGCTTGCAATAAAATCATAGTCCATAGCATAAGACTGAATTAAATATTATAAAAGTAATTAATAACATTGATTTGAAGATGAGAAGCAGCAGCCATAGATTCATTATTTGTGCTTGTCTTCTTGCTTGGCATAAGAACAAACGCCATTACTCCACGAACTAATCAAGTTAAAAGAACTATTAACTCACAGTAAACCAGAAAATAATGAAATTTAAGACAAACCTTCAATTGACGCTCAAAATTGCTGATGAGAAGATCAGCGAAGGCATCTGCTGTGTATTCCCTGCTGGTGGAATAAAGATTGGGAAGAAGATAGTTGTTGATATAATCATTGCTACCAATATTTATGACGAAGACCGAGCTCGAAAGATAATCTGACAATTTTATGAGGTTTGGTATCAGAAAAGGCAACTGCGTAGTGACAGTCTTCTCAAACAAAGCAATTTGGCCATTGAATGATATCCTCCCACCCTGCCATTCTTATATGATTGCTAAATATAAGCATTGAGAAATTGTTGTCAAATAAAAGAAAAATAGTCTAAGAAAGGGAAGGGAAATCTACATAATGCCTGCCGGTGGCATCGAGAATGCCGGCAGCAGCTGATGCATAGTTAACCCCTTGTAATATCTGAGTTGTCTTCGACTGTAAACTCAAATATGGCACTGGGAATGGCAGACCTAATAGCTTTGCTGCAATATTAGAACACGAAGGGTAAAGTTTCTGCGACAAATTGAAGCAAATGAAATGGAAAAAGCAGGAAAAAACCTCCGTAGTCAGTGACAGTGAGGCCATTGCAGAATCTGCCAGTGGGGAAGCCATAATCAATGCCATAAGGCAAGTAGTTTGCTTTCGCAATGGTTGGGATGAAGTTGTTGTTGCCATTATCGATGAGAGAATCGCCAAAGATGAACATTGCCTGAGCGCGGCCACATTCAGAGATGGGGAGGAAAAGGAAGATGGAGAGTAAGAGGGAGAGAAGAAAGTAGAGTACTTCTCCATTAGTTTTCTCCATATTCTCAAGGAGATATTTTTATTTTTTTTAAAGATTTTGATGGTGGCAACTACTGTCTGTCTGAAGGGGATCGAAGTGCTATTTGTAGTTGAAGAAGAATTGTGGAGCCATCTTTCTCGCAATTGTATGGAGAAATGTATGACGAATTTGTGCTTGAACATGTATATTTAATGCTGCTCCCATTTATCTCATGAGTTTTATTTATGAAAGATTTGGGGGGCTTTTTTACTTACCATAAAATTTTTGTACATTTATATTTCTAATATTTAAATTTTTATATTTATTTTTATGATAGCTTAATCTTCAAATTACATAAAAAATATCATAGATTTATTTACAATAAAATATATATATCTTCATGCACATATTTTTTTGACACTTATATAGTACAAAATAGTTGTGGATCTGTTTGTTGGATACTTTGGCTGTCAACAAAGAGATCTTGAGTTCGAAGCATCTCTATCTGATGTGTCTGTGAATTTGTCTTAATTGACCTAAATGTCTAAAAAAAATGTTGTATGGAGTCACCTAAATAGGAATTTGGGTGCATCAGATTAGACCAAATTATGTACGATAGATTTGAATCGATTTAGAGGTCAAATATTGTCAAAAGACTATGGTCTTTGATATGTTAAATTCATTGGATCAAACTACTACACCATTTTGACTATAAATTTATTATATTAAAAAATCTTATGGTACCCAAATAAATGTTTGAAAGTTTTCAAATCTTAGTTTGGGCATTTTTTGGTCAAAGAATTCATGAAAATTTTGGGAACTACCCTATTGCGAACTTTTATAAGAGCATTGAATTTTGTGTTAGATGTTATAAACTTTACTTCATCGCATAGGATTTCTTAGGAAGGTAACCGATCCTTCTTCTTCGTTAGCGATTACCCAAAATGATTATGATGATATATACTGTTTACTGTTTCGCAGGAGAGATTATTATGTAGGGACGTCGGATGCAGCTCTACATCCGGATGTCGCAGCATTGAGCGAGCCGTGGTACCGAGCGGTACCAAGCCACGGTACAGTAAAAGAGTGACGAGGTGCATTTTTATTGGTCTTCTGACTATGTTCGATATCCGCACACGGAGAGGACCAATCAAATAAGTCACACAAATATTACTATAAATTAAAAAATGGCACAATCTACTGCTAAGTTTAATGGACGACTATAATATATATAATATTCTAGAGTTATTTAGATGAATAAATAAATAAATTATTTTTTCTCAAGTGTAAAGTTTAATGATGATGGTTACCAATTGTAAAGGTGGTGGCAACCAGCTATTACTACATCCTACGAAGATGGTATATGCAAAGAAGGTGGACAGTGGCGACGACAAACGACAGCATTGATGGAAGCGACGATAACCGACAGCACCGATGGAAGTAGATTTATACCATCTAAAAACTTCCAAATCTAACCATTTATAAATACACCAAAATAAACAATGCCTCAAAATTTCATTCTATATTTCATTACTTCAAATCAATTAATTGTTAAAACTTTTATATTTAAAATATCTTATTAATTTAAACAAAAGTGTCTCTTAATAATAATCAAAAATTAGAAATCTAATTTTTGTTTATTATTTTTATTATTATTATTTTAGGAAATTGAAATCGTATACGAGTGTGTCAGATAGTTAATATGAAAAAGCGCGTAGGGTCCTGCATCAGTGTGTTGGTTTTCTTCCACTATTGTTATTTAATGTTCGTAGGTGAGAGAGTCAGTTGTTGGTGGATTTGCAAAACTCATGCCGAATTAATTTCGGGTCCAACCCAAACTAAACCTGTACTACTTTGACACCCCTAATTGGTTGGGTTGAGTTATCCCCAACTCAACCACTTTAAGCTTTATTTTGAAATAGATTGAAATGTCTACTTATAATAATAATAATAATAATAATAATACTAAAATTCATCTTAAGATAAAAGAATGTAAGATTGTGTAAATTATTGTGTGAACATTTTACATTTCTCATTAAATTTTTTTAGTATTTTCTATGGAGAGATCCTGTCGGATTAATGTCAGTTGAAATGTTAATATACTACTAAAAAATCAGACTTTTGCAGCACTTTTCAGGATCTACTGCAGGGGTTTAAACACCTACTAATTTATTTGCAGCTGTTTAGAAAGCGTTGCAAATCTGTTGTTTTTGCGTTCGCTAGAAAGACTTTAGCAGCGATTTTATGAGTGTTGTTGTAGGAAGGCTTTAGCAACGCTTTTTAGCATGTGTTAAAAAGAATTTGTGCTAGCTAGAATGCTCCTTAATTTAACTAATTAGGGTTTTTTTGCATCATTATTGTATTTTTAAAATTTTTATTTTATATATTTTTAATTATAAAAGAAAATATATTTGATATCTTGAACCTAAGTTGTTTTCATTTTTGTTTTTATTTTTATTAAATATCAAATACGTTAGGGTGGCACTAGCGATGATCGTTGCTAGTGATGATAGCCGATTGCGAGGTGGTGTCAACTAGTGCTACAAGATAGTAGATGATAGTACTGATAATACAATATTAACAGTAACAATAACATCAAACTTTTATCCCACAACGAAAACGACAGTAAAAGTGATTGACAATAATATCATGATAATAACAATGTCGGAGATAAATGCGGGAACTAGTAGTTGTGGTTATTTTTTGAAAAATATTTAAAAATTATTTTGAATATTTTTTCCAAAAATAATTTGATAGAATTTTAAAATTAATTAAAAAAAAACAAGCACAGTTTAAAAATAAATAAAATTAATGTAAAATGAGTCCTAAGTTAATATTTTTGTACCCACATTATTAACTGACAATCTTGAAGTGTTATGTGACAAATGCTAGCCACATGGCACATTTTTAGCCATATTAATGTGAGCATGTGGCTCCATGAGACCTTCACATATGCCACAAGTAGGATTGATTCACTGAGAAATTATTATGTGCAGAATCCGGACATAAAAAATTATTTGTTTTTATGACTGTGAGCTATAAAAATGCAATTATTGTTCATCACTGTGCTTTTATTGTTCACAGTCACAAAATTGAATGGTTCTCTATGTTCGAACTCTGCATGTAATAATCTCTCGACTAACTTACTCTCTGTGCCTTTGGTCAACAAATTTCACTGAGCCCATGAAGAAGGCATTGCATGGCTAGAGGTGGCCTTGAGGCCAATAGAGCCCAGACCTCATTGATTTAGGTTTCATTTGAGATGATTTTATTACTATTTTTAATATTAAGAAATTTTTATACTAAAAAATTGCTTTAGAAAGCAATATGAGAACTGTCCCAAATGAAGTCTTACATTTATGTCTGGAAATGGTTTACGGATCCTGCGATATTTTTTTTTTTCTTCGAATTTTTCTAAATAATCTGTAATTATACCTGATCAACTTATAATTATGAGTTTGATTTTGAACTCGGCATAGCTTCAATCACTGTGGATTCATTCAAGCAGATGGATTTTGGCTTGGTGGATCAATACTCGTTCATATTGAACAGGTTGAGAAATTTTAGGATAGAGTTTTGATTAATCAGGTTGAACGAAACTGTTAGCGTGACAAATGGTATTTTAACATGATAAACCTCATAGATATATGATCTTCTTGGACGGTTGCAGATTTTTGTAAAGATAATCGTAAAGTTGTTGTAGGAAACAACTATTTTGAAAGCTGTTGTGAATAATACAAATATGATTTTTTTTATTAAAACTAACATATTGTATAAACAAATTCTCATAATAAAATTTTCTAAAAAGCGATGAGAAAGTAATAGCTAAACAAAATTGCAGTTACAATTTGAAAAGTAAAACAATGAGAAAATTATTCCAAATAGATCCATAATGTACGATAAAATCATGCTATGTCGGCCACATGGGCGGATCCACCCATAGCTTAGGGTGGGCAAATGCCCACCCTCAAAAAAAAAAATTTTAATATTTTGAGAGGAGATTTTGAAATATTTTGAGCATTTTGCCCCCCCTCAAAAAATTTTTTTGCCCTACTTTCATCAATCCTAAGCATTTTTGCCCATCCCTCACAAAAAAAATTTTTTTTGCCCACCCTAAAAGAAGAAGCTGGATCCGCCACTGGTCGGCCAAGGGGGGGGGGAGGCCAAAAATAATCAGGAGTAGAGGCTGATTAATGAAATAAGAAAAAAAATTAGGTTTACCGGTTTCTTCTTCCATTTATCCTTTATAACTATGCATGTTTTGATTGCTGTGTTCTTATTATTCTATCTGTCCATCTCCTGGATTTGGAGACTAACAGTATTCGTCTTCCTTAAGCCCTTTTTATGCTATTATTAACGCTTTTGGTTAATTATTAAGCAGTATTTGGAATACCAGATTTATGAAACGATGGATCATGCATTCATGCCTTAGTTTTTTTGTAGAAGTAAATTATGAAAATATGATAAATTTTTTGGGGATGTTTGGCCGGAATCAGGTTGAAGATCGACTGCGAAATAGTATTTACAGAAGTAAATATTTGTGCATGGCATGTTTGAATTCTAATAATGGATTTCATGCATTCAACAAAGACAAGTTGATTCAAATGACACAGTTTTATCCAGCTGATTTTAGTCTTGTTGATCGGGCGGTTCTTGAAAATCAATTGGATATTTATATCATGGATATGCAATCTGATGATCAGTTCACCTCATTAAAAGAGCATTTTCTGCCATGAATATTATAAAAATTTGGCTGCAAAATAGAATTGACGATCAATGAATGAATGATTTATTAATTGCTTATGTTGAAAAAGAAATTTTGGATTCTATTGATAATGACGTTATCATTCAACTTTTTTAGAATATGAAGAGTAGACGTTATAAATTGTAAGTTGTTTACTATCTTGTATTTAATATTATATGTTTTTGGATAATTACTAATAAAATTTTTTTAAAACTGTCTATGCCGGTCCCAAGCCCAGATGAAAAAAGTTAAGGGAAAAATTTATGCCCCATCTTGATAAATTTTCTGGCTCCGCCACTGATGTCGGCAGCATGTTTGTAATATGAAAAGCAAAACTATTAAGTTGTGAGATATTTATCATATGATTGTCACTGAGAGATGCAACATTATCTTAATTGATGTAGCAAGTTGCCCTTATAGATGGGAAAATTATTTTGTGCGATTACTAGATCGTCCGAAGTTGAATCAGAATGCACCACGTCACTCGGTACACAGCAGTAAACATCACTGGGACATAACAAAAAAGTAACGTGGTGAGTCCTAATTTGCCTCGAGATGACGTTCGACGACAACAGAGAATAATTTCTTTGCCATATGGGGCAGCATATGTTTCTAACAAAGAAAATAACATTTATTACAATAGTTGAAGTATTTGATATATTTAGAAGACTTTGATGGTATGAATCAATATAAAATTGGATATAAGTTGAACTATCATCTTTTATTTAGATGTTATTATTTTACCTTTTACAATAAATATCTATTAAAATAATGAATAATAAAGATATGTGAATTGTATTTTGGATTCTTAAGAGCCCCTAAACGATTTCTTTCTACTAAGTCCATCTGATGAAAGAATCCATGTCTTCTCTAGCTTTAGAACCCGTCTCCATCATCATCCAACCAAAGATTACTACAGCGAAGAGACATCCTGATCTTCAAAGCACGAACCTTTCACTCCTCCGCCTCTGCAACCACCTCCAGGAAGCCCGGCAAATCCACGCCCGAATGGTCAAATCCTCCCAAATCACCGACCCTTACTCAGCCGGCCGAATGTCGGAGTTCTACGCGCTCTCCTGCTCCGGCACCCTCCATGATGCCGAGAAAATTCTTGTATCCCTCCACCAACCTCCAATCTTCATCTACAACATAATCATGAGAGGTCATCTTATCAGCGAAACTCCGCTCAATTCCATTAAGCTCTACCATCAATCCCTCATCAACTCCATTGATCCCGACCATTTCACCTTCACCTTTGCCCTTAAGGCCTGCACCCACCTGCGTGATCTTGGAATTGGAATGCAGCTTCATTCTCATGTTGTCAAGCTTGGGTTTTGTTCAAACGCCCACATTCTTAACAAGCTCATACATTTGTATGCTGTCGCCGCCGGCAGAATGGATGATGCCCGCAAGGTATTCGACGCGAGTCCTGATCCAGATGCAGTTGCTTGGAATAGCATGCTCGAGGGCTATGCTCATAATAGGGATGGTGGATCCCTTCATGACTTTTTCCACCGAATGAAGCAACGGGATGTTGTTTCCTGGAATACTGTACTTGCCTTCTATGTTGAGACTGGTAAATATGAAGAAGCCATGGCTGTGTTTAGGTCGATGCAGGAAAGCAATGAATGTTTACCTAATAGGATCACACTAATTAGCGTTCTATCTGCAGCTTGTCATTTAGGTGCATTGGGTCAAGGTAAATGGGTACATGCTTATATCAACCGGCATGGAGTTGAGCTTGATGAGAACCTTAGCTCTGCTTTGATTAACATGTATTCCAAGTGTGGGTGCATTGAAGGTGCAATTCATGTCTTTGAGGCAAAGAAATGGAAAAAGGTGGACAATTGGAATGCCATGATTGCTGGCTTTACCTCAAATGGTCATAGCTTGAAGGCCATAAAACTTTTCTCAGAGATGTTGGCTGCAGGAGTGCTTCCCAATGAAATCTCCTTTGCTTGTGTACTGAATGCTTGCAGCCATGGCGGACTTGTTGAAGAAGGAAAGGAGTATTTTCGAAAGATGGCGGCGGTTTATGGCCTCAAACCCGACATTGAGCATTATGGGTGCATGGTAGATCTCTTTAGCCGGGCAGGATTCTTCGATGATGTGGAAAAGATGATTCAACAAATGCCAATGGAGCCAGATATAGTGATGTGGAAAGCATTGGTGGGTGCTTGTAGAATTTACAGGAAATTTGAACTTGGTGAGAAGGCTGGATATAGACTAATTGAAGCAGCTCCGGACGATCATGCTGGTTATGTTTTGCTATCAAATATATATGCAATGAAGCATGACTGGCATGGAGTTCATAGGGTGAGGAAGATGATGTTGGAGAGAGGGGTGAGGAAAGTACCTGGTTGCAGTTCAATTGAGTTAGATGGTGTTTCTTATGAATTTATAGCAGGAAATGCCACACATGGCAACAAGAGAGAGCTTTATGAGATGTTGGAGGAGATGGGAAGCAGGTTGAGGCTTGCAGGATATGAGCCAGATGTTACACAGGTGCTTCTGGACATAGAGGAAGAAGAAGTGAAGGAGAGCTCTTTATCGCAACATAGTGAGAAACTGGCAATAGCCTTTGGATTAGTGAGTACTAATCCAGGCACAGTCATCAGGGTGGTGAAGAATCTTAGAGTATGTGGAGATTGTCATTCTGCAATAAAGCTTCTCAGTAAAATCTATGGAAGGGATATAATTGTAAGGGATTCAAACAGATTTCACTCCTTCAGCAATGGGTTCTGCTCTTGTGGAGACTATTGGTAGCAACTCTAAATAGTGATGGACTCTTATCGAAGATGGATGAGGAGGTTTTCATATAATTTTATACTTGCTACAGGAACCCATAAAAGATGTATTAGTCACCACAGTAAGGGGCTGTTTGGTAGCAAGACTTAGGCTGGATTTGAGGCGGATTTGAGTGAAATCCAGCCAAACGGCCTAAAATGCAAAACCAAATCTCACAGCAAAGGAAATCCGCCGCAGACGGAAAATTCCGCCGATTCGCTCTAAATCCCGGATTTCCGAAATCCTATGTTTTGCCGGATTTACGAAATCCATGGCGCTAGAGGAAGAATCCGCTCGGTAAATTATATTCTATAGCCAAACAGTCACATGAGATTTAAGAGAATTTATCATGAATGTTACCAAACAGTTTTCAGAATTTAAGCCTCTCATGATTTCCGAAATCCGGATTTAGAGGATTTACGAAATCCTACTTAAATCAAATCCGGGATGCTACCAAACAGCCCCTAAACAAAACTTGTAAGTAGAACATTCATTTTTTAATTATTGAAAGTTGGTGTGCAGAAACGCTGGAGTTGGAGGATGATACTTGGTATTTTTTATAGCAATTATAGAGAGAAGAATGGAAAAGAGAGAACAATGAGAGTGACTGGAATTTTATTAAGAGGATGAGGAAGAAGAAGAAGAATAGTATTAGACGCTGGGTCTTGGCATAGGGAATTCTAGTAATAAGACTCCTGATACAGTAACTTCATTTCCTTGTTATCTTCACCTTAAAATATATTTATAAACATACAAGGAATTTGTTGCTACAAGAATAACAATTTAAGTAAGCAGTCCTGCCTTGTTAATCAACCTTTATAAAGTGTGGGCTTCAATTGCTCTTTAACATCCCCGCTTGATCTTTTTTTCTTTGGCTCTTTGATTGTGCAATCTCTGCTCGTTAACAATAGGACTGTTGACCCCTATATGCAAAAATAGGGAGAAAAAAAAAAGGCGAAAACAGATGAATCAAGTAGCGCCGGTCGACGTGACACACAACTTGAAAGGTCAAACAACTTTTGATTGTCAAAAGGACTATGTTGCAATCAGGACGTCCGATTCGTCTAAGTCGAGACCCCTCGAGGTCAAATCAAACGAGATCGATCTAAAAGGATGACTGGCACCCAAAATTGACTCTCGACGTCGCTAAAACGACATCTGATCGAAGAACAGACTATGTCGTTGAGTCTGGAACGTCTTCGACATTCAAAAAAAATATTTTATTTGATCAATTGGGATCGCCCGAGACAGTGGCATGAATCCTAAGGTGACGATGAGCAAATCGAGGAAATTAAAACATGACGTCGCCCAAATGATGTCCGATCATAGAACAGACTTCATCATTACGTCGGGAACGTCGCCGACATTAAAAAACAACACTTTATTTGATTGATTGGGATCAGTTGTGGTGGTGGCACGAATTTTGAAGTAACAACATACAAATTAAGGAAAATGGCATCCAATCTCAAAATGGACTTTGTCTTTTGAGTTTTGAACATCAACAATATCCAAAAGTACATTGTCAAGTTGTCCAACGAAAGTTATGTGGCAAGATCGACGTGCAAAACGAAGCAAATGCGCGAATTTCAAGGGAATCGTGTAAATCAAGGTTGTTTCATTGACTTGTGCATTACTGTCATCTTCAATTAATGCTATTACTAATTAAGGAAAATCATTATTATCATTGCTTGTGAATTAAATCAAAAAATGGGAAGTCAAATGAGATTTCAAATCCCAATTAATGCGAAACCTCGTATCATCATCGAAATCTCTGATAAATCCCCTAAAATCCATTGAGATCGCATCTGAATCTCGTGAATTTGGCAAAGGAAGCGTCAATCGCATCTCGTCAACCTTAGCTTCTTAGTTAAAACGAGAGAGACGAAAGCCGGCAGAGTTTTGCTTCACGCGATCACAAGCCAGAACTTTTCGAACTACTCATTGCCTGTCCGTCCTGACCTTCCTCACACCAAAACAGAAAAATTTAAAAAAAAAAAAAAAAATCCCTACAACTAGCGGTATCAGTATTTGACCTACCATGAAAATCCAACCCAAAAATTTCAAATTTGGGTTGACCCAAATCAGAAATGGGTCGTGTTCGGTTTCAACAATTCGATCTGTTTCAAAAATCAGATTGGGTTCGGGGTGACCCGTTGACCCGAAATTGCACCGTTTTTGACCCGGCAACCCGAGATTGATCCATTTTTTACCAGAAAATTAGCGATTTTTTATTGGCACCGGATCATTCGGGTCGGGTTTGGATTCGGAAAACCGACTGGCTTGCAAAAATGGGTCGGGTTCGGGTTGACCCGAATAGAGCCGGGTCAATTTCGGATTCGACCCAAACTTGACCCGTGACTCGAAATTGACACTCCTACCTGCGAAACTTCCATCCGCCTCCCTCTCAGCGGCTTCAGCTTAGCCTTAGGCACAACCCTCCGCAACCGATTTATTGGTTTCCTCACTATACTATTTAACGGTCTTTCGTTTCTAATGTGCGTGTTGAACGTTTAAATTCTAAAACTTCTGGTCACTGAGGTTGCACTCGCTCAACACCTCTAAGAATATCCCTTCAAATATGCACTCAGATTGACCAAAAAATATTAGTCGAGTTATTGAAACTTAACAAAAATTATACTAACACATAAGAGTTATAATGTTGAAGCTTCTAATTCAACTACTTGACATTAAAAAGCTGCATGAGACCTACAACATCATCAACATAATTAACCAAATAAGCACCACAATTAGTTCAACTTGGCATAGAAAAGAACTCATCAAAACAATATACATTGACATCAACAACATGATTGATGCCAAAATGAACCTAAATTCCCTTAAACTTATCGCCTATCATTTAGAGATAAGTTTCCAATACCAAATGGATGCCGTACTAACTTTCATTTGTACATGTGACCTTAGTAAAAATTCATGTAAGACATTTTTCACGAAGAGCTACTTATCTTTGGGGTTATTATTATTTTTTTCAAATTTCGAAGTGTAGGAAAAGTAAGCTAGTAAGGAGATTTCAATTGTCTAGATGGTGATGGAATGGAACAATTATTACGTCCTCCGACCGGACGCAGAGGAACGTCTGGTCGGAGGCTAAATCCCGCCAAAAAACGAGTTGTACCGAGCAATACCAAACAATAACGAGGAATACCATCATTTGAAGACCCAATACCGAGTTAAACCGAGAAATACCGAGTCATACAAAAGTTGTACCGAGTTTTTCCTAGAAAAACTCGGTACAACTCGGTATTTCTCGGTACAGCTCGGTATAACTCGGTATTGGTCTTCAAAGAGCGGTATTCCTCGTTAATATCAAATAATACCTAGTTGTACCAAGCAAATACCGAGTTTTTTGGCGGGATTTTGCTTCCAACCAGACGTTCCTCTACGTCCTTACACCGGACGTAATAAAAGTTCGATGGAATGTGCATTTTTCTATGCATGTAAAACATTGCTTTGCTGGTGTATGTATTATTCTCACATATATGCGCTAGATGATGTGCTATATGGGCATAATACAGGTATTTGCTGAAGATAATACTACTTTGTTTTATAATGGTGCTGATATTTTAAACTCTATTTTTCTAGAGTATATTTTTTAAAAGTAGATTTTTTTTAAATAATTTTGATGTAAAATGTAGCCATACATCCATCCCAAATCCTTCAGGGCTTCGAAAACTACGTAAGCCCCATTTATTCTATTTGGAGTCTAGACGGGAAGAACCGTTCAAACTTGTGAATGTACACAATGTATACACATTTATACACAGCATGTATAAAATGAATATACACGTTGTTTATGCACTATGTGTACAAATCAATCGAACTTCACACATAATAATTTCTCCTATTTTGAATAATTTTCTCATTATTTTTCTTTTCAAACAATAATTATTATTTTATTTGATTATTACTTTCTTGCTTTTTTATACTACTTTTTAAATATTGTTGTGATGAAAAGTTATTTTTTACAACCATAATAATTAAATTACTTTTTTCATAACAATTTCATAATCAATTTTATAAAATGATACCATCATTTCAACCGGACTCTAAATTTAAATTAAGTTTAATCTTAAATACTTTGTTTAATTTATAAATGAACATTTACTAACGTGACACTTTAAATAAATGAATTTACTTGGATGCCATATAATCTTTCAGCTACTGTTGTAAAACACGTCTATTAAGTCTTATAAAAACAAGGCCCTATTTGGTTTTGATAACGGTCAATTATTTTTAAAAGAAATAATAGTCTTAGTTTTACCTTAAATAAAGTCATTAATGATCAAACCCAGTTCATAAGTGCAATAAAGAGACGATGGCATGGTCAACCCAAGCTTAGAGGCATAGCTCCACTTAAACTCAATAATTAACTGGGCTGACCCACCAGTGCTTGTCTTGGTAGTGAAGAGCTGGCTGGGCAAAACCCAGGTCCCTGGTTCGAATCCCTTGGCAAGCAGTAAAAACCTTAAGTATTGACCCGTGTAAATTAGTGTAGGTTGCATGCTAGGTCGACCGGGGTTTACACTGGCCTAAGGACAGTGCTTCCTCGCACAAAAAAAAAATAAAAAACTGGGCTGGACTAATTAATTTCAAATTTTATTGATATCATAACGATGATCTATGGATTTGTTTGAAGCTATTGCAGTTTTTTGTAGATGTAAAATTATTATTAAAAAAATATATTTGCAAAATATTTTGGGATCTATAAAATTGCAGCCTTCTCTAAAAATGACTGTGAAATTATTATAAAAACTTTTTTTAAATACATTATTATTATGTTTAAACAGATCAACTATTTTTTAAAAATTATCACATATTAATAACTATTTTATAAAAAATAACTTCCCATCATAAAAATTTCAATAGAGTCATAAGGAGGTCAATTGTGTCAATTTAAAGCCAAATTCTTATTTAACACTAATAAAAAAATATTATTTTTAATATTTTTTAATAAAATCTTTTCAAACTTACCTCTACCTTGCTTAACATAAGTAAAATCTAATATATCTAATCTCCATCAAAAGCAAATATTTTAGGTGTCCAAACCATTTAAGACGACCTTCTCTAATATTACATGTTATTGGAGCTACTCCAACTTCTTCACATACATACTCATTTCACATTCTATTTCACCCAATTATCCTCATCTCTACAACACTTAATTTTATGCTTCTCTTCAAATGATCAACATTCTACAACAAAAATGTTATCCCAAATAAAGCCTAAAACGACTTCTTACAGTAGATGTGTGATCGCAAGGGTGGATCAATAGGCTGTACAATTTATTGCGAAGAACAGATGATTGACGTTAAGGCTTCATTTGAAACAGCTTTTTTTATGCTGCATAAAATAACTTTTTAGTGCAAAAATTTTATGAATTAGAAATTTTTGTAATGAAAAGTCATTTTAGAAAGCAGCAAAAAAATTGTCCCAAATGAAGACTTCGATTGGGATGGCTTTCTTTCTACTTCTTAAAGCAGCTTTCCATTATAATTTTTTACTAGAAAGCTACTTTAAAGAAGCATAAAGAAAGCAGTACCAAACGAAGCCTAAGGCGAGTAGAAAGGCTACTTGTAGCATGGTCACAAAGCTTGGTTCTATCATGCAACATAAACTATAACACACTATATTCTTTGCATTGTAGCACCGTATGAACCATTTTGCTAATCAAACAGTACAAAAAAAGTTTCCACTACTTACAAGGCAACGTTACTATAGGTTCATGTTTCCTAAGACAAATCTTCTTTATATAACATCAACTAACAATTCATAGATAAAGAACTTGCAATTTATTATAAAAACTGAATCTGCATGAAAAACCTCATTACCAGAACATATAATAGTACAAATGAAATAATTGCTTTAGAACCGAAAGTGCAAATGCTTTGAATCTTGCATGAAATGCAAAGAAATCAAAGAAATTTGAAAACCATTATACATAATAGAATTTTTCCATTCAATTATTCATCATAGTGCTTTGTTTTGCTTGAGCCCTGCTGTTCATGCAAACAAAAATGCCAATCGGTACTTGAATCAACAAACAATTTAGGCTTCATTTAAGACGTCTTTTTTGCTGCTTCTTAAAGCAAATTTTTAATTAAAAAATTAAAAAGCCATCCCAAATGAAGCCTTAATCTAAGGAAAAAAGTGTATGCAAAGCAATCAGAGAGCTTTGAAGGATATGATGAATTACTGTCAGCATCATATTCAGATCAAATTGTATCATCCCTTTGCTTTGCTTCAACAACACTTTTCAGAGCAATAGAAAAACTAAACGAACAAAAATTCAAAAAAAAAAAAGTAAGATATAACATTTGCGAGTATTTGACAAAAGAAAGCAGGGCATAAATCCATGCATTAGAATTCGTTTGACAAAAAAAAAATGGAGTTTGGTTTTTTCAAATAAGATGCAGAGTTACAAATAACAGTGAGAGGCTGCTGATGCTGACTGTTTTTATATGAAAGAGATTTAAGAAGAGAGAAAGTCATCATACTCAGTTCATCTATCCAAGAAGAACATCTGGACTAATCATCATAGTACTCAAATTTAGAAGATCAAGTAGTCAAGAAGTTTATCATAAGATTAATATTAACACTGATAATAATACAATGATCATACATATTGACCAAAATAATTATTTTCATTATTGACAAATTATAAGATTCATCTTTTACAATTAATATTCTCATGAGAGCCAAGTAATGAACTTCAACAACATTTCAAGGAGGTCTTCTAAGTCTGAACCTATCACATCCAAACTGATCAATGCTTGCTCTTTTGTGTTCAATATGTAATTCCTTCAAAAGACAAGCTAAAACTTGCTCTTGTTGATGAAGTACTTTGATATAACAACATGATTATCATTATATGAAGCATACAATGCAGGTCTAGAATGCATGAGTTAAGTAATAATATTACTTATAATACATAATTATATCCCTCTAGTTCGAGGTCATGCTCGATGATGTAGATATAGATGTCCCTCTAAAGATGGAGATGAAAACTAAAATGTGATCTGAAGCTTGATATTTTGTAAGGTGTCCTGCTGTGGTGAACCATATTTAAAAAAAAAGTGCAAAAATGTTTTTCTTGACTTAAACAAGGCAACCTCACTTCAGATTTATAGTTGCTAAAACAACCTTCTTTATCTATCATAAACCAACAATACATTGATAAAGAATATGCAATTTATCATAGAAGCTGAATATGCATGATAAAACTCATTGCCCAAATATACAGTAGACTAATAAAACAATGGCTATCGAACCTATAGTGCAACTGCATGGAATCATGCGTGAAATAGAATGCAAAGAGAATAAAGAAATTTGAAACCCCTATAATTTAACTTTATTTTGCTTGAATCCGGATTATTCATTCAAACAATAATAATGAATTAGATTAGATATTCAAGTCACTAAAAATTATGCATGCAAAGCAATCAGAGAGCTTTGAAGGACATGATGAATTGCTATCAGCATCATATTCAGATCAAATTAGATCATCCCCTTGCTTTGCTTCAATCAAAGATTTTTCAGAACAACGCAAAAACAAAACAAACAAAAAAGCAAGAAAAAAAATATAAATATATAAAGAAAAATATCAAAGCATCAATCCGTGCTTTAGAATTCTTTTTGCCCTCGCAATCATGTGGCGCCTGGTACCAGATCCATAGTCTTGCATGGATCCACCATTGATGGGTTGTAGAGCATAATTGCCGAAAATTCGATTAAACCGGCTGCCTATAGTGTAATTCAACTTAACAATTTATAAATTAGCAAACAAATATATAAAATTAACTGCTCTCATACTGTACAATTACCTTAATTTGAAAATAAATTATGTATAGAGACTTCACGAAGTCGCGTCGCTGTGGAAGAAGAGAACAAATTGATGATCGATACACCATAATGCTTCTCGGCGGAAGCCACCCTAGGGTTTCTCAAGGAAGCGTAAGATTTTATACCTAAAGCTCCAGTTCCAAACTGGATTAAAAATCTATGCGATACAAAAATGGGCCTTGCGCCTATAATGTTTAAGAAAAGCCCATTGCAATTCAAATGGTTTTATGGCCGCTTTGTTTTTGAGCAATTTGTTTGGGAGAAACAATGCATCAATTTGTTTGGGAGAAACAATGCATTGAAATTATAGAGAAAATGTGGGTTTCTTTTACATTTATTTTTTCAAAAATAAAATGCATAAATAATAAATTAAATTTTATAATGTATTTATGAAGCGCTACAGCTAGGGGTGTAAACGAGTCGAGTATTTGTCATATCAAGCCTGGCTCGTTTAATCCTTAACGAGCTTAAGCTCAAGCTCGAACTCGAGTTCGAGCTCGATTAGTGGGCTCGAGAACGACTCGTTTAGAAAATATCAAGCTCGAGCTCGTTTGATATTAAAAAAAAAAAATAAGATGTCAAATATATATATATGTATATATATCAAGTAGCTTAATAAGCTTTCGAGTCGAGTCGGGTTGAGCTCAAACTCGATCTCGTTTACCATACGAGCTTGCTTGTAGGCTCGAAGCTTGATAAGCTTGGCTCGCGAGCTCGTTAATGAATCGAGTTCGAGACAGCGTGACTCATTTACACCCCTAGCTACAGCACTAGGAGAGGCGGCACTAGAGCATTATTTCTCTGCGGCACTCAACTCTCGAGTATCAGTTATTTGGGAGCATCTAGAAATATTCTAAGGGAGAGCTACGTCTTTGGAGAGGCAAACATAGCAGCATTCAAACCCAAAATGATTTGCGTGTGTATTTCTGTAATATCAGGCTTCGTTTGGGACAGGTTTTTTATTGCTTCTTAAAATGAATTTTCAATATATATAAAAATTAAAATTTTTAGCTAAAATTCCGTTTTAAGAAGCAATGAAAAAGCGTCCCAAACGAAGCCTAAATCTATTTTCCAAATCTCATATAAGCCCCATTGACAGAGAAGAGAGAATGAGGAGGAGAGAAGAGAGAAGGAAGAAGACGGAGGAGAGAGAGATTCAGAGCCCAAAAAGGTGTATTCATCCGTTAAGCCAGTTGAGGATTTCATAGAGCACAAGCATTACTTTTGAAAACATGTCTCCGATTTAAATTCCAATTTTTATATAAAAAAATATGAATATAAATATATATTTTCCACGAGTTTTACGATGTTTTCACCATGCAACTTGTACCATATTGTTGAATTCTTTATTCTAAACACTTTTGCTGCAAGAAATTGATTTTTTATTGGTTTGTTTTCTCTGCAATTAATTTTATGTATATTGAACAAATGAGGCATATCTAGTTCTTATGATAGTTCTGCATAAGTCTTAAAATATTGTTATGAATATTCATCTACAAGTGTTATTGAAATGGATAATATTTAGTAGGCATAACTTTATATATGTAATATGTCTAAATATTGGAAGTTCAAAGAATTCATGCATTGGCAACACCATGCATTTAAGTCATAATCATTTATTGTTGCATTTATTTTGCATAATTCATGACATGACATTTGAGAATTTTTTATATCCGAAATATGATAGATGCTTTATCTAAATTGATATAAGGGTCATATTTTTGCTCTGACCCCATTTACTTTTTGTGTAGACGTGGGAGAGATTTTAATCGTACTTGATAAATACGGGTGTGAGTGCTTACTCTATTCAATTATAACCCGCTTGTTATGTGCAAGTATGAGAGGTTAAATTGAGCTATAAATAGAAATAGAGTTATAAATAGACTTTAGGATAAGTGCATTATATTCATAAATAACTTAATAAACTCTGAATCTCTAAATGAATTATGATGAAATGAGAAAATCAAGAGTATGTGAGACACTTATAGTAAGTGTTCTCTAATAGCAAGTGTTCTCTGACATCTTTGCTATTTCAGTGAAAGCAAATAACGAATGTACAATTATTAATCATAAAATTAAGTAACATTCTTATAATTCTTAAAAATAATGTTCTCCTAGTGCTTTGTTTAATTTTTTACTGATTAATTGACTAACTAAATAGTTTATTTTTTGTATTTTAATTATATATTAATATATGTGATGAGTTTGTGAAATAAGTCTACAGAGCTAGCAAGGGCGAAACCAGCCTTTTATTTCAGGGTGGGCAAATTTTGCATATGAATATATTATATATTAATATTTATATAAAAAAAGAACATAATTCAAAGCAAAATAATTATGATTGATAAATTAAAAATTATTACAAGCTTAATAATCTATTTTGCATTTTCTGATAATGTTGCATTATAACTTCATTAGGAATTAAATCAAATACATCATTTTCAATATAAGGCACTAGACAGTCGTTGAGCAAATCATCACACATCCTACTACGTAGTCGATGTTTTACAATCTTCATTGCATAAATGCTCTTTCCACTGTAGCGGTAGCAACTGGTAAAGTCAATGTTAAAATAATGAGTCTATAAACCAGCGGATACACATCATCCTTCTTGAACTTAACAATTTGCTTTGAAAGATAGGCAATACTGTTTAGAGAGGAGAACTCAGTACTGGTACGCATATCAATAATATAAGTTGATAATTGACTTTTAAGAGCCACAAGATCAAATGTAGAGAAATCATTTGAATATAACTCAGCTAAACGTATCAATTTCCTCTCATCATAAGCTTGGAAGGTATCAGTTGGATTTAAGCATGCCACACAAAGAAGCAATTCAGTGCTAGATTCGGAAAAGCGATTATTTATCTCTTGAAGTTGCATGTCAACTACAATATAGAATAGCTCAACACGATAATGATGTAAGTTTGTTATTTCTTCACCTCTTCGTACTGTTCGACGACGTGTTTTGTATGTTTCATACATCTTTGGAACAGTAACTTAAAAAACACTACAAAAATGAGAAACTTCATCTAATAGAACAGTCCATCCACTCTCCCTTAGTACATGTAGTCGATGTTTAGATATTTGCACCAATTTCATTGCATTTTCAATGTCCTGGTCTTTTCTTTGTAGTGATTGTGATAACTCATTCGTAATTCCCAAGATATCAATCATCAAATGCATTGTGAAAATGAAATCAAATGACTCCATCACATCAATCAAAGTGCCTGCTTCAACAGATTGTTGATCATTTACCCCTTCTTCTTTAATGATCTCGAGCACCTCGATTACTGAAGCATATAATTTCATAAGACTAATTAAAGTATGAAAATGTGAACTCCATCGTGTATCACTGGACCTTTGTAAATTAGTCTCTTGATTTAAACCTCTGCCTCTTATTAGATTGCCATCTTTAAGATGTGAAAGAATTTTTTCATGTTGAATTGCTTTTATAGTATATGATCTCTTATAAGAAGCTCCAACAATATTTATAAAAGCAAACTCAAAAAGATGTTTCACTTTCCAATGATTCTTCGCAACAGCTACTAAGCATAATTACAATTGACGGGCGAAACAGTGAATATAAAAAGCTTGGGGATTATCATTAAGAATGAGAGCCTTCAATAACCTGCCCTTTTCTATCAACATATCTCACTGCTAATGCCAACTGCTCCTTCGTTGATACATCACGCGTCTCATCAACTATAATGGAAAAATAAGAATTTCTAATATCATTTATGATAGAAGCCAATGTTTCAAACGACGCGGCACAACAAATTTCCTTATGAACTTTGGGTGAAATTAACTTCAATTTTGCACTTGCATTTTCAAAACTAACCTTCTTGATTTCTTCATTGTGGTTAGCAAGAAAGTGAAATAATTCTAAATAGTTCCATTTATTATTTGAATCAGATGCCTCATCATGGCCACGGAATGACAAACCTTGCTTTAGAAGAAATCTAACACAGTCAACGGCAGCAGACAATAGGATCCGGTATTCTTTTTTATTCTTATCATCTTTACTGAGCCATAAAGTAGGAACACTCTGTAATTTAAGATTTATTAAATCTTCACTTTTTTGTCTTGCTTCACTACAGGAAAACCCCTTATTATCGGCGAACGAAATCCGCCGGAAAACATAGATATTCTGACGGAAATATAAGTTTCTGACGCACGTTTCGGTGGAAAATCATACGCCAGTTTTGGATGCGTCGATAAATTATTTCCGGCGCGAATTTTGCGTCGGAAATATCTCCGGCGCACTTTCCGACGAACTACCGGCGAAAAAATGTATCGTTTTCGACGTCGAAAGACGTCCCAATTCCGGCGCCATATGCGCCGGTAATTATCGTCGGAGTATGCGCCGGTCATTACCGGCATATAAAACGCCGCAAAGTATATGTAGAAACCCCACGAACTAGCTTGTGACGCAAAGTAGACGCCGGTAATTACCGGCGGACGGTGCGCCGGTAATGTCGCCGGTGGGTTCCGACAGAATAAAGCCAACGGTACATACGATACGATTCGTTATATCGTCGTTTCCGGTGAACTTCCGGTGCCAAATCCGTCGGAAACCTGTAGTATTGACAAAAAAAAAATTCCTTCCCAGCCAACAATCAAATTTCCACACCTGCAAACCAATACAAATAACAATTCCACAACAATTCAATTGTAACATTACAACATATCAACAGTTTCACAACAGTTTATAACATTAAAAGAAGCAGTTAAGTACTAACAATCAACTAAAAATATCACATTAAAAGAAACTGTTCAATAAAACATGTTCACAGAAATAAACAAGTTCATATTAACTAAATTAAACTACTCTGACTCCGTCGACTCCTCCTCAGGTGGAGCTACATCTTTTCCACTCAGCTGCTCCCTCATCTTGCGCATTTCATCCAACATAATTATTAATCAGTAAAATATTCTTTTAGGAAATATTTATCAAATAAAATCAAACTATAGATAATGTCAATTAATTTAAGTTAATAATATTTTAATTGATTATTTAATACAATAGCTTTTATACAAAAATCAATTCATAATGATAATTATTTCTTAATTAACATTTCTATCAATTGGTATACATAATTAAATTTTGATAATTATTTTTTAAAAAAACAAATCTTCCTATGCTTTATTATCCACCATTGCCTATACTTCAAAATTTATATTCTAATTTGTATTTGTCAACGCTCTTTGTACAACCCCTATGTAGTAAAAATTATTATGTTCCGAGTTCGGACATAACTTACGTTCAGACTCCAATTAGTACCTACTACATAGCCTGTATATTGCATACAATTTTGCACAACATATAAAAATTGTACAATCTGTGTCTGAACTCTACACATAAAATTTCTCTTAGGGTGGGGTTTGCTTTTGCTCATTGCTCTTCTTATTTATGTGTTTTGTGTGAAGCAACTTTGTAAGACTCAATTGTATTCCTACAAGGTATTATCTTTTGCTGTCTCGTGCGACCAACATCTACATAATCGTGCTTGAGCTCACCTTTGGCCGGTTGCCAATGCAGATAGAAGAACATGTTATTTTCCTCATTTTCTCTAGCGCTTAAGCTCCGCAGATCTTGTAAACCCGTCGAACTTCAGGATTTATTAAATCAGGATTTAGAGCTAAAAGGGGAAAACACCTTTGTACTAATAATTTAATTAATTATTTAAGTATTATTTAATAAGATTTACTTAATTATTAATATTTTAAATTATATTAAATTATTAATTAGTTAACCAAAAATAAGGGTCTAGGGTTTGTTTTTTTTTGCTTCTATTTGTTCGTTGCTGTTCGGCTTCGTTCCCTCGCATTAGTGTTGAGTTTTGCGCGAGTCTGTTCTTCGGCTCCCTCGACGACGTTCCCTTACGACATTTTGATCGGAAGCAACGACGGGAGCTCGCTCGCCGTAAAGCTAGCTTTCTCCCTTTCGCGCGCTTCTTCAGCCAAATCCCGTAAATCCGCCGAACCAAAGTACTTGGTAAATCCGGGATTTACCACGAAAAGGGGTATTTTCTCGTCAACTGCGGCTCCCATTTACCGTGATATTTGATTTTGCGTTTTTGGCCGTTTGGCGGGATTTAGCTCAAAACCTGCCTAAATCCTGCATCCAAACAACCCCTGAGTTATATTGCATGGAAATCTAAGTACACTCTTTAGCAGAATCATGGGAAAAGCAAAGCCAAGTGTCTCTAAGAAGCTTAAGCGGGGTTTGGACTTCAAAGTTAGTTTCTTTGTTTCTCCCAATTTATCTATATTGCACGCTTTTCAATGCTATTTACCGCTAATCTCATGATTTATATTAGAAAATAAAACGCAAAGTTGGAAGGAGATTGCCTCCTCCTAAGAACTCTACGGATACAAGCATCAAATCCAAAGGTAGATAGTGTCCCTGAGTTTTGGACTTTTAGCTGGTTGATAAACTATATAATCTTCCAGAAGCAAAGTTTTGTACTAATTTCGTTTGTTTGTGCATGAGCAGCAATTATTCTTCCGGAGCAGAGCGTGGCTACTGAGAAAGCAGGTTTGGCAGTTAACAATAAGGGTTTGACTTTGAGAGAGCTCCTTCAGCAGACATCGCATCATAATGCTAAGATACGGAGGGGTAATTGTGTTCTAGTATTGTCGAAACCTTAAATTTGCTTTACTCTTTTAATTCCTGTGTTTCATACTTTACCTTCGTGTGGATAACAAGTAGGATTAGCTTCTTATAAGCTTTATTTTAACAAATAATCGTATTCTTTATGGTTGTGTTTTGAAATGCAAAAAACTTTGAAAAGATTAAATCTATGTTTGCAAATTCCAAAGCAATAGGATTTCATTTAATGCCTTTCACTTCCTTCAGTCTTTACTAAGACTATTGGTTTTGGCTTGTTTTAATGGATTTAGGTGATTAAATCCCCCTTCAGTCCTTTAGTTCAGCCAAACTTAATTTAAGGCTATTGAATTTATCTAAACCTCTAATCCTAATTTTTTTTTTCAATTCTGTAGTCTTGTAATCGTTCAAACTCTTGGATTAACCAAATCCTATAAGAGAGTGAGATCAAGAGAGATCAGCCGAGGATTAAACATATTGATTGTCAAATCATAATGTTTTGCCAACATTCCATGCACACAAGAGAGCAAAGCCAAATACCTTTTATTCCATGTTATGAAATTCAACAACAAAAAATGTCAACTATAGAAAACTATGGTGAGATTGAAAATTTTGACCTCTAAACAATTATATTGATGTGGTGATACTAATATGCTATCCCTAATCTTTGTCATGATGCTTTCAATCATGCATTGGCGTATTTCGAAACAAAGAAATATTAACAAGTCAATTAAAGAGAAGAGTCTAGATCATCATTATATTTACAAAGATATTAAGAGATTATAACTTTATTGTAGATATAGTTTTCACTGCTAGATTTGATATCACATCAAGGTCTTAGAATAATGGTAAATTGCCTGAACATATGACCTCCAAATGTACTTAAACTTTAAATGAATATATATTTTTTGACTAAAGTCAGCACAAGAGAAGGGAGAAAACACATGAGAAAAAAAAAGAACCAAAATAACTATGATTTATTGATTACAGAAGGTATGAGTGGAAAAATCTTTAAAGATCTATTATAATCACATTTATTTTACATAAATACTATTGCTTTATAGTGTGGAAAGTTTCCACCATCTCCATGATGAAATTTTTGGAATCATCCAAAGTGCCTCCTAGGGGTGCCATAATATGGATGTAGTTAGCCTAGGTGAAATCTAAAGATATTAAGATAAAAATAACCATATTGATATCGGGACCAATTTGCTACAGTGAGCACACAAACATACATATTGACCATTACATTGACCATGAAGCTCAATTATGGTATTCTTCTTTAATGTGTAGAGCTTGAGTCATCTCTATTCTCTTCAGGTTAAAAAGATTGGAGTATTGGACTTAGAAAAGTGAAGGCTGCTATAGTTATTCAACATCTAATGTTCAATTTAAATCTTTTATGTGTATCCATATATTATTATTAACCAGCCTCTTCAGTCAATTAAGTATCTTTTGTGACTCATTCATCAAGAATGTCTTGTATCTTCACTTGATCAAGTATCTGTAGCGACTCAAACATCAAGGATATCTTCAAATTTGGTTACGTTGTGTGTTCTCCGTCATGGTAGTAATTTTGGAATAGGAGACTAGTGAGCCAATGAATATTCTCGACGAAGGAGCAGGGCAAGGAAGGCTTCAAATGTACAAACTAGTTATAATTTGGTTATGATTGTCGGCAAGCTCAAGTAATTTGGTTATGATGCATGGTAATATGTGCATTCGATGAACAATATCTTCAAATGTACAAAATAGTTATAATTGTTGGCAAAGGAAAGGATGGATAGAAGCCATAAAGATCTAAGCGTGAAAATTAACATTATTTCCATTATTTAGCAAAATATTGTCATAACAAGTTTCAAATATTTCACAAGATGTTGCCATCAATAAAAAACTAGCACGTATGAATAACACTTTTTTATTAAGAAACAGTGGGAATTTGATGAGGACATCAAGACATGGAAAGTTTATTAGAGGCGTGGTCGTCGATCTACGACCACGATTACATCGCGCTACTTTTGATTTTCATATTTATGATTGCTGTATTATTTTTATGAAGTTTATTATGCTTTTCCCTTTTTTGCCCTTAAGGGCTTAGGTACGTGTAAGCCCTAGGGGCATTGTAGTACTTTTTATTTTCTCATTGTATGGGCTATTTAAAGCCTCCCTCTTCTTCTTTGAGGGATAATGAATGAATTATAAGAAAATTCTTACACATGTGTTCTTTGAGTTGTGAAAGTTCTAGGAGAGAGCTTCAGAGAGATCCATAGGGAGGGAAAACAGATCACCCACCACCACCAATCTTAGAGACGGTCGGGTTCGTGGTTTGTTTTATTGTTTTTTTCTTTCAATCTCTTTTCCTTCTAGCCGCCGGATTCCCCTAGCCACCCCCACCTTGCCGCCGGCCAACGTCTCCCACCACCAAACCATTCAATCCACAAACCCTAAACCAAACCCTATTCCAAACCGCCGGCCACCCCTTTGCTTTCCCCTCCCTCATCAATTGTCATTACACCTTTCCTAAATTAGCTCTACATATTTTAGGAAACTCAAATAATTACAAATTCAAATCTATTTAAATTTGAAATTATTACCTAAAATATAAATCCTATTTTAGGAAAATTTCCAAATCCCTTCCTATTTGAATTTTAAATTAAATTGGGATGAGATATTTCTTCCCAAATTTAATTCCTTAAATTAGGAAGGCTTTAAATGCTTCCATAAACTCTCCTTTTCCCCCATGCCGCCGGCCCCTTTCCCTTCAACATTCCTTTTCTCTCCCAAGGCTCCTCTAAGGAAAGGATTGGAAGCTTACCTAATTTAGATCCTCTTAAATTTGGAAAGATTTCAAACTCCAAATTAAATTTGAATTTGAATCCTTTCTTAAATTAAGATGGATTCAATTTGAAAAATTTCCTATTATCCCAAATTTGAATTTAATTAGACATTTCCCTTTAAATCTCTTTCCAAATTTAATAACCTTAGATTGGAAAGAATTCAAATCCCAATTAATACCTTCATGAATGACCAGCCTCCCCCTTTTTTTCTCCCCTTTCCCATTAAAACCCTTCCCTAATTTGAATCCAATCAAGCTCCAATCATCTAGCCGCCCCCCCTACCTCTCTCATATCCCATTAATTTCCCTAAAATTAATTCCCAATCAATCCCGTAACTCCCCTCAGCCCTAGCCATCTTCCCCATGCCTCCCACCTCTTGGTTTTCTTCCTCTGTTGGATTCCTAAGTGCTGTCCAGATTTCTGGGCACAATCTGCACGTTGTCTAGTAAGTTCCAGATTTTCTTCTTGCTGCCCATCAACTCCAGCAAAGGGAAATCAACCATGTTGCTGCCATAACCCTCCGACTGCTGCCTGAAGCCTTCATATTGTTGCTGTTCAGATTTTCCAAGTTATAAGATTGCTATTCACAGGTTTCTGCAGCCACCGACTGCTGTCCAAGCTTGCGGGAAGGTTCCTAAGTGCCGTCTCCTCAAAGAACGCCTGTCAAACAGCTATGCCGATTCCGGAACTTCGTTCTTACAGTTTTTTTTCGAGTTTAACCTCGACAAGGGTGAACTCTTTTCTTCTCTTATTCCTTCTTCATTGATCCTTACTTGTGGTTTTGATTGAATCATGCAAAAATCATGCAACACTTCGCTAAAGCCTAGTAAATGTAGGGGAGTTGAGTGAGAGAACCTCACATGCCTAATCTTATTGTTAGATTAGGGATTTCTTGTTGAAAGCTATTTCGTATGCAATGTCAGGAGTAATTGATTGTTATGTGGTTTTTATTTTTCGCAAGTGACTTGGCCTAAGCTTTTGTTACTGCTATTTGTGTTTTATTTCATTGTCTAAATCACCATCAAGCTTTAGCTAACTTGATCTTAATCATCAAGCATGCAAAATCCTTATTTAAATCATATTTTCATATTTGTCCTCCATCAGAATTTATATGAGAGTGTAATTTTTGGTATTGAAACTAAATTTATGGTGAAACTTCTTTTTATTGTGCTATAAAATCATAAAAATTGAAAGGTAAAATTTGTCAATAACAATTGGATCGTTCATGCTTTATGGACTATAATATTCATAAAACCTAGTAGTTGGAACAAGGCTAGTGGTGGTTATGATGCTGCATGGATTTGAGGGATAAGTATTGAAGAAGTTGTTGGAAATCATGTTTTGTGTGCTAGGAATGATAATATTGAGATTGATGTTTGGTTAAACTACTGATTGAATGAGAAGTTATTACATTAGAAAGATGGTTTGTGTAATAGCTATTGAACTTAGGTAGATGCACTAAAGATGTAGGGAGATGGAATTTATATGAAATGACTAGGAAGAATAAATGATAAACTTTAGTTTAAATAGCTTGAAGTGGAAAAAAACTTGTGCATACTAGGTTAAAAATTTCAATCGACATTGTACATGAAACATTGGAGGAGGATTCATAAAGAGTACAATGAAAAGTTTAAATAGGTTAATGATTATAATGATGATTTTCACTAAATGAAACTTTTGTTGAATAAAAAAAAAATCAGAATAAGCTGTTCGCTTGATGTGCATGGGTTGATATTAGTGCCTTCAACACTTAAAGAACTCGTGCTGTTTTGTGGGAAGAGTAAGTTGATATTTTAACGGCGAAGATGGAAAGCCTTAGAAGAGTGTCAAAGATTGATAGTTTGTTGTTTTTGTGTTTCAATATTTTCTTCAAACTCAAGTGCAATCTATTGAAGTCATAAAATGATGGAGAAGAAGACTTGGCATAGATTTGGGGATTGATTTTTATTGATTCCTTTTATGGTTTGTTAATGTTTGCTGAATCTCAGTATTGTTTATGCGGATCAGTTAAGTTTCATAATTACAACACGCTACTTGTTACAAATGTAGTTCTGAGTTCCATTTTGTGCCAATCTTTATTTACTTTATGTTTTGATGGGCTTTAATATGTCTTTTTATCTTTTTTCTGGTGCTTTCTGCAGCTGCATTAGCAGGTATTAGAGATTTGGTGTCAAAACACCCATCAGAGTTTAAACTTCACAAGCTTGCCTTGATAGAAAAGCTACGGGAGCGCATTTGTGACAATGACAAGGTGGTTCGGGAAACATTATATCAAATCTTAAAGACTGTTATCTTTCCTTCCCTGAAAGAGGTAGTTGATCTTTATTCTTTCTTTCTTCATTCTCTTTTGCCTCTGTGCTATATCCTTCAAATTTATTTTCTTCTATCTGGGTGTTTTGCAATTTCTTCATTTTTTGTTAGCAAAATAGTTTAAGCGGTTGCAATGACATACTGGTGTATTGGGGTTTTACATAAAAATGCCTATGCATTGTTGGAACTTGTTTCATTTGGCTTTTGTGCTTCTTTTTCTAAAATTATCAACCCACCTGAATTACTTATTTTTATTACGGTACACTAAGACTAGGATGTGGTACATCCATCTCGGTATATCTATGGGACCATATTTTCCTTAATTCTCTGACTTAGGTTTGGAATAATAATGTTGTGAAGATACTAAAATATTTATTTTTCTATTCATTATTCTTTTACCTTGTTAGCACATTCATTAGTCTTCCCAATTCTGCACTTTGACATGATTTGTCTGCCTAGATAAAAGTTTTGCTCTAATTTTTTATTTCTATGATTCTAACTATTTACTTGGTTTTTTTCTCTTTTTCAGGATGTACCCGGGCCCATAATATCTTTATTAATGGCTTATGTATTCAATGCAATGACACATATTGCAGTTGATATCCGCCTAATGGCTTTTAAATTTTTTGAACTCATTGTTCTTAATTATCCCTCTTCCTTTACCATATATACTGATCAGGTTCGTATGCCAGTGCTTTTAGCTTTTATATTAGATTGGCTTGATACTTAAATTAGTAAAATTGTAGCTTCTATAATTCATTTAACTTCTGAAGTATGTGTCGGCTTGATTCTTTGATTAATCAAACTATAGTGTCGATAACAACATTACTTTATATTCTATAACGAATGCTATGGCTTTTGTTTCTTGCAGTTCTTGATTTTTATCTTTTTGAACTATTGCTTTTCAAATTGATTGTTGATCTTTATTTTAGTTGGGGCTGTTTGGTTCCCTGAAAAAGGAATACATGCAGTGTAAAAGGAATACTTTGGAATTGTTTGGATGATTGTAAAAGGAATGCATGAGATTATTATTTTTATTTGGTTTGAAGTAAAATGAATGTAATGTAAAGTGCAAAAAGGTTGTGGTTGGGGGGTGGCCGGCGGGTGGCAGGCGGTGGTTGACGTTGGTCTGTGGCCATTGGTGGGCGGTGGCGGTTGACAGTGGCAATGACGATGAGTTTCCGGTGTATTTGAAAATCACCCAAATATGAGGAATTCTAAATATACTGGATTTGAACTAGAGGGTAAATTCCTTTTACTTCAAAAATTTTACTCTGTATTCCTTTTACTTCAAACCAAACACCAATATTTTCAAAACCTCTACATTTGGAATATTTTACACCTTTTTGCAACAAACCAAACTGCCCCTTAGTAATTTCATATGAACAGGATTTTAACTCTGTCTGGCATGCTTATGTAGAGTCACACAAATGCAAATTATAATGTACATATAACACCCACACTTGAACAAGCACGAAGACTGTAGACATTATTGTTACATGTGCCTGTCACACATTATAGTTGGTTCCTTCCTGTGCACATTCCTGCGGTTGGACGGATTCCAACACCTTGAACAGCCACAATTTTCTTTTCCCTATTTTGGAAGCCTGCTATAGATGCCACAACACAGCCTGTACCAGAACTGCAGTCCATGAACCGGCTAACAATGGATAAAGATTGCTTACAATAGCCGGGGTTCCTGCACCATGAAAGCAGTTAGCTGTCCAGCTCCTCTGTGCCTGCTTTTCACAAGCTGAGAGCTGCAAGAAGCTGGGTTGCGTGCTCCCAGCTGCTCGCCAACATATCCTCCCCTGCTCATGAGTTGTAAGAACACTCAAAGAGGATCTTCTTGCCATTCTTCCTTGCTCCCGCCACTTGGAAGTGAATCTCTCGGCTGCCTACTTGCTGCAGCTGCCTAGAAGTGGCTAAGCAACTTCTGTTCCACCTTCCACCAACCACCCAGAGAGTGCCTTCCTAGTTCCGAAGTTGATTTTGGTGGAGTCACATACTCCACTACAAACTCCTTCTCCATCCATCCATGATGAGGGAATCCTCCCCAAATAGGAAAATTTGAGATTTATTTTGTCAAAACTGCGGGAAAACATTAATAGGTGTTACTATAAATAGAGTCCAAGCCCACAAAAAACGAATGCAAAATTACAAAAATATCCTACTGAAGAACATAGAAACAGTCCCCAAAGAAAATTACTCATTTAACATTTTTTTAAGTTTTTGCTATGTTCATCTGGTTATTGTCACATGCTTTGCAGTTAGAACTAGTTAACTCCTTAGGTTCTTAGATATCTTCAGCATCTTGATTTGTGTTATCCTAGCAATTTTGTGTCAGCATACTAAAACTCTTTGACAATTCATTTATAGGGAGGTTGAGCTCAATTCAAATGTATGCTATGTATGGTGTTAGTAAAGCAACACTATGACTATTGGGCTACTAGAGCTATCCTGATTAGTTCTCCATTTGTAGAGGTTTGTAGGTTAGTGAAGGTTTTTATATGCGCATGTTGGGAATTTAACATTCTATGATGTATGTACATATTATTTTTTATTTTTTCACTTTCTTGTCTGGGTTAGTGGGTTGCATAGTTTGCATTTATTAAACTTAAGAATTGACAGTGAAAAGTCTTGATTGTACTTTATTGTTCTGTTTATTCCCATGCTAAAATCGATCTTATAAAATTTTGACATTTTTTCTTGTTAATTTAAGAAAAGAGGATACCATTGGTCATCATAAAATGCTTGACCTACACATTTTTGCTGATTTCTTCGACTGTTAATTAGCTGGGGTGTTATCAGTTGCCTCATTGCTTTTAATGTGTTTTCTTTTACTTTTTATAGGTTCTTGACAACTATACTGATATTCTCAGAAATTATCAAATCTATCTACAAGATAAGAGCAACCTCAGGAATGCTCTCGGCGGACTAGTTCATTGCCTTTCCTTATTGGTCAGCAAGAGTGGGGAAGATGATCTTAATGAACCGGTATGTGTCTTGTATTTCTCTTTCTTGATTAGGATCTCATGTAGACTATGTCTTATGTTGCTCTTTTTGTTTATTTTTGTCTTTATCAAATTTCAATTCAGTTTTGTGTTGGCTTGTTATGAGTTAGTTTTGATTGATTCTTTTGTACTCTCTAATGGGAGTAGAATATAATATTTTTCTACGCAAGAGCCTTACTCTTAAGATGCTTGGTTGTGGGCTTTGAAAGAGCTTTCAGGGAATATGATTGTACAACATCAAGAGAGAAATAAGCTCTTCATAGATTTAGTGGAAGATAAATATATTTAAAAATATTTTTTTTTTCAAAGATTTCTCCAAAATTGTGTAAAGAACTAAATAAAATTTATTTCATGCCATAGCTGAAGTTCCTTAAATACTCTATTAAAGTCATAGCTAACATTGATTTCATTTAGTTCTCAGGGATTTGATATAGGAATTCAATAGGAGTGTAGCTCTAGTTGATGAAAAAATGCCATTTTTCGAAAGGGAAAATGTTATGAGCATTCAACTTTGATTACTTGAGATGCTCAAGAAATCTATTTGGGAATAATTAATTTCATAGAGAGAATATTTATGCTCAATTTTGACTAAACTTTTAGAATGTGGGTCATAAGCTTTCACAATAAAATAATGAAGTATTATTAAGAGAAAATTTCAAGTTGAGGTCTTATAGCATCATTGCTAAGGACATTTATCTCGAATCAAATTCTATGGTTGATACTTATTTGTTGACTCATTGTACAAATCAACATGATTAAATGCAACATTGATGACTAAGATGGATGCGATTTAATGAATTATTGACGCAAGCATTCTATTTGCATAAAAGAAAACCGAACTGTCACATGTTCACAAAATGAACTATCTTCATCTATCCGGGATGTTGAAGTTATCCAGAAAGACTCTTCTTTATTGCCCGTCTTGCTACGTGAGGAAACAATTTGCATGCATGAAGGGAATGAAACTTTATGGGGGAGTTCGCAGTACACATATATCAAACAAATGATATATATATATATATATATATATAATGCCGAGAACAATGTTTTACAATGTTGATGAGGGATGTGGGCCAAAAAATAAATTTCTTTTAAAAAGAAAGCCTCCAAACTCCTTCCCATACTGAAGTTGGTGTGCCCGACCCCATGATTTCTCCAATCAGGTGCTCTACCTCGCTCCTATTTCCAAACCCAAATGCTGATCTCCTCGAACCTCCTAAAGCTCGTACGCTAACACTCTGTTCCTATGAGCCTTTCATTGTTTGCAAAAGTAGGCACCATAATGTTTGTCATCCGGCCTCTTAGAAAAAAAGATAAATAGATGATAATAGAATGAAAATATTATACTAAAGCTTCTTTAAGACCATCCTCTACTCCAACATTTTGTTCTTAACTGAATACTTAAGCAGCTCCTCCCATATTTTTCTTTGCTACTCTTTGTCTGCCTCTCTCCCCACACTTTTTCACTCACTCATCCCTTGAAATCTCTTGGCGATGCACAAAAAAGATGAGGGTGACACTTTTAAGCACTGCACGTTCGATTCTTCATGTAATTTGATGCATTGAGGAACAACTTTTTAGGTATATTTTACGTCGTGATCTCTATAAAAATGCACACTTCCCTAAACACCTTTATTGATGTGTTGCGATGAAATTTAAGCTTTGATGCTTTTGCATTTCACTAAAATGCCATCATTGGTATAGAAGATATTTTTACTATCTATTTGTAAAAGAATGCTTCATCAAGATAAAGAAGTGATGTGCTACGACCTCAGTTTTATGTTTGCGAACAAAACAATAAAAAAACTTTCGTCATTTGATGCAGTGAGGAACCCATTTTTAGGTAGATTTTAGGCCATGATCTTGCAAAAAAAAAAGCACTTTCCCTTGAACAATTTTATTGGTGCTGAATGAACTTTTAGGTTTCGGTGCTTTGTACACTGCACCCAAAATGGCTTCATTGGCACGGTGGGATGGCATATTTTTGTTATCCATTTGCAAACGAATGCTGTAAAAAAACGATGAGATATGACCTTGCACTTAAGTTTGCAAGCGAAAGAACAAAAAGACCTTGTAAAACGAGTAAGCATAAGAAAAGTATAAGCATTATATTTGCATGAAGTTTGGGAAAGCTCATCTCTGACAAGGTGTAAATACAAGTAAACTTCAAAGAAAAATGAATCGAGTAATGAATCTTGAAGCATGCTAAAGTGATACATTGGGAAGCATGTACGTGTCACGTTAAAAAACATGCGAATTTACATAATGATATTGTTTGAAGAGACTCAAGGAGAACATGTGATGGGACACATAAAAAAGCGTGCTAAATTGCATATTGAGAAGCATGCAAACCAATGCATCAAGTAGCATGCATTTTAAATCATGTGATTTGATTCTTCAAATGCTGTAACATACACTTGCATGTTTCATAATGAAATACTTATTAAACAAAGATGGAATATTGAATTGAAAATGAGTTCAGATAACACCATTGAAACTCCGGGTGCAAACTAAATCATCTTAAAGCTTGCATTTTATTTTTTATGCAAAGGAATATGAACGCATCCGCTTTGGAAGACATGCTAACAGCTAACTCATCTTTTCTGTGTTGATTATGAACGATCTTATCATCAAAGCCTTAAATTATATTGAGAAATTCGAAATGACACTTGATATTTTCTGAATAATTAAAGCATGCAAAATATTAAAAAAGAAAATAAAAGAAAATTCTTGAAAAAATTATTTAGAAAAAATAAAACAAAAATAAAATAAAATGCAAAATATTCTTACAGTTAAAGGAAAATGTCAATATGGGTACAAAGAAGAAGAACAATCAAAGAAAATTGTATAAAATTTTCTTGATGCTTCTAAAGTTTCAATGTACTTGAGGAGCTATGATTATTGCTAAAAATGCTCAAGGCATTGACCTATGCGATCCTTATTTCGAACTTGATCAAATTGTGTAAGTACTCAGAAATCTACAAAATATAAATAATTGGATATGAATATTTAAGAAATATGAGCTCCACCAAGCTTGATCCTCCACATGTGAGTGTAGTTGTCATGGGTTGCGTTTCGATAACTAGAGTACTAATTAGTAGGCTTTCTCTATTTTTGAAACTATTAGGCCCAATTTTTTGATTTGATCATCTATACATGAAGTAGAGCTGACATGATTTATAATCTCATAATTAGGGCTTGACATATTTGACCTGACTCGAAACCCAACCCAGACCCAATTCAAAAAAATTTGAGTTCTAAGCAACCCGTTTTCCAGATGGGTCGGGTTCGGGTTCAAGATTCTAATCAGTTTCTAAAATCAGGTCGGGTTCGGGTTGACTCGAAATCCCAAAGGTGACTTGAATGCAACCTGGGTGGTGACGACTTGTTGTTCTCTCGTTCTCTTCACAATTTCGCACCCCGCACAACACTCGCACCTCGCACTCAACTGCGCTCGCGCTGCACTCAGCACGCTCGACCGCTCGCACTCGAACCGAGCATGCGTGTTCGCAGTTGGTCACACCCGCATTTCCACCTCGTAACCGCGCTCGCACTCAGCACTTGCTCTCGCTCGCGTAGCTTGCCCCTTGCTCCTCCCCTGCGCGCTTCGTGCACCTCGCATCCAGCCTCGCTTGATGCACAGCTCGGACCAGTGTTAGCGGATCAGGTCGGGTCAACATGGAAACGCTACGGGTCGGGTCTGGGTTTGAATTCCTGACCCGTTTGCCTAATAGGGTAGGGTTTGGGTTGGATTAGTTGAACACCAGTCAATTTGGGGTTGGACTTGAACTCGACCTGAAAACTCATTTTGACACTCCTCTTAATTGCTCTGGATTTGACCCCCCACGTATTAAGGTAGAGTTGATTGGGTTCTTAAGAAGTATTTGTTCAATACTTGATCTTATACGTATGAGTTCGAGACAATGTATAATAATAATAATCTAAGACTTGTTTTTGCACATGTGAGAAAAGAGAAGACATGGTCTACATTTTAGTAATTATCCAAGTGACAAAATAACGATTACATGCACGAGTGCTCTATTGAACTAAAAGGTCAAAGAATGCTTATATAGTAAAAAATGTGAATAAAAATAAAGCGTGGAAAGGAAAAAAATATGATTTAGAAAAATTCCAAACATATTGAAAACTACAAGAATACATTTAGGAATTTTTTGAAAATATTTTGAGCATTTTTTAACCCTCTTTCATTTTGAGGCATGTGATCCTTTTTTTCTTTTTAGGAAATTATTACTCTTGAAAATTCTTAAAAAGAAAAAAAGTATAAAAAAGGCACAATCGTCGATAAAATATGGAATTCCCTCTTAGCACAAATGTTGTTGCTTTGCAAGGAAGTAAACAGCTCACAAGGCTCTCGTGACAGCTATTTTTTAAAACTAACGTGAATGTGCAAGGGAGTTGGTTTGTCTTCCTAAAATCTTAGGAATATCTAATGCAAAGCGTATTATAAATTTATAATCTAGTATTGATGAAATTAAAAGCCTTGCACATGTATATATTTGCTTCTGTTTGATCCTCTATAAGCGAGTAGTTATGGTTGAGAAGGCGCCTAACTTGTTTGTCTTCTTAGCTCGATCCTTCACTCATGAGTAATAGATTTGACAAGATTAAAGCCACAATAATATTCATATGAAAATAAAAGTGCCTTTGCCTCAATTTATGTGCTAATGACATAAATACCCTATACAACATGATATAAAAATTACCTTAAGCTTAGGGATCCCTCAAGCACTCTGAGATGCATATTCTCCAATGATGGGAGCTCGCAGAAGAGCTATGTTAGAGAAGATAACGTTGTTTAAATTATTTTGGTATATTTTGTCTTTTCTTGAATTTGCTGATGCTTTTTTAGCTGTACAATATGCTAATATCTGTACTAATTAGAAATATATGTCAGCAACTGCTTTTATTTGTTAAGTCAGCAGTAATTTCAGAATAGGTAGTGCTTACTCTTATTATGGTGGATTCTGTTATTTATGTCTTATTGCCTGATGCTTTTTTGTTGAGACCTTTATAATACGTTAGTAACCAGTGCTCTTGATTGGATTCTTGCGGAATTGTTGATTTTAAGCTTTTGTATTCGTCTCAATCTCTTCAAGGACTTGCTTACTTAATATTTTCTTGAAATACCGATTTTTAATGCTTGCAGAACATCAACGATAAAAGGTGTTTATACAGTTACACAAGTGAAGCAAACTGCGATGATGCTGGTATAATGATATGTCTTAAAACTTAGCTTGTCTTGTACAATGTGCTTTACCATGTAGAAATTGAGTTTGAGATTTGGATTATGCATTGGAATGTTCTATAGCTATTTTGAGGAGGAAATGCTTACATGTATCTTTAGCTGGATAATTATTTTTATCAAATTTGGTAGTATAGTCAAGTGCCAACGTAAAGAGAAGAGTTGGTGTATAATGAATTTAGAAGAGCTTCTATTAATTCAGGTGCTGGCAACACAGTCTTATTTCCAAGGAGTTTGTGGATTTCATTAAAATCTACTGTTTTATGCTCTATGAACATAGCATTACTGAAAGGTAGGAAAAGCTACATTTTAATCACCAATTTGGAAGTTAATGGTTGTCTAGCTGCAAGGAAGCCATCCTAGTTTGTTTTCTGGCCAAGTAGGTTCTCAGGCATCTTAGGTTTCGTTTGGGACAGCTTCCGTACTGCTTTTTAAAACATCTTTTCAGTACAAAAATTTTAAATTAAAAAATTTTTGTACTAAAAAGCTGTTTTAAAGAACAAGAAGAAAGCCGTCCCAAATGAAGCCTTAGTATGTGCGGTAATTTTCTTATGGCTCTTGTGGCTACGGTAGCAATAATCTGCTATCTTATTATTCTTATATTCTTTTTAAAATAAATTTGTTACCTTTTTTTCTGTAATGACTCTTACCCACTGTAAATTTTTATGACTGCCTTTTCTTTTTCACGAAACTTGTCAGTAATTTCTTCGGCTTTCAAGAGGTTTCAAGATCTTGTGCCAGCATTAGTCAGCTGTTTCCAAGAATCCAGTTCACTGATCCGGTCAATGTCTGCAATTGATACACAATCTTTTGATTGTTTATTATGTACACTGCGGTGTATAAATCTGGCAGTCGCCCTCTTTGTTGATAAGATGAATAAGTTTGATGCAAGGCCTGTACAGTTAACATCACTGCCTGAGGGAGGTCCTGATGGCATGCTTATACTTCTGAAGAAATTATGGGAAACATTTCCAATTGGTCAAATGCACCATTCTACTGCAAAGGTTTACTTTTATGTTCTTTTAATGTCTTTTTATAATGCACCAATCTCAAAATTGCTTTGGCCTTTTGTCCATGACACTTGTCTTCTTATGTGTTGGGTCAATATGGCATTGCATTTGACTTATTTATGTGTGATTTTATCCTCTTTCTCAATTTTTTGTTTTCTTGGACCAAAGATTATGTGTTCTTACAAGCAATTATGACATTTAAGTGCCGTTGCAAATTTAGAATTTCCTCTTTGCTGTT